ATCAACCAACCAACAATAAACAGGATTTTACAGTTCACCATTTGGGTGAAATATCCTGCAATGGGATCAAATATCCTGCAACAGGATCTTACTATGTAGTTGTGGCTGTCCTGAAACTTGCTTTATAGACCATGCTGCCCTTGAATTCATGGATCCACCTACCTCACCTCCAGGATGCTAGGATTAAAAATGTGCACCACCATGTTAGGCCTCTAAATAAAGTTTAATGGTATACTTTACATCCTGTATATTACTAAAACTTAAAATTTTTGCAATTAAAAAATAATAGTTAGGTGATTTTGGCGCCACTTGGGAGGCAGAGCAGGTGCACCTCTCTGTGAGTTCAGGACCAGCCTGGTCTACAGCGAGAATTCCAGGACAGCCAAAGCTACACAGAGAAACCTTGTCTTGAAAAACAAACATCTTGGCCCATAACTTTTACCTCTAAGGATCTCTTTAAAGACAACAACTGAATTTCAGCAAGGTGGCAGTTGCTCCCTACCCACTGATGACAAATGAACTACTATGAATTCGGTAATGTTCTCAAATGAAATTCCTATTTTAAGCAGTTTTTTGTTTTGTTTTTGTTTTTTAGAGACAGGGTTTCTCTGTGTAACCTTGGCTGCCCTGGACTGACTTTGTTGACCAGGCTGGCCTCGAACTCACAGAGACCACCTGCCTCTGCCTCCCAGAGTGCTGGGATTACAGACATGTGGCACAGCGCCTGCCATGAAATTTCTATTTTAACTAACCAAAACAGCATTAAGAAAACCTTGGGGAAATAGCTGGACAGCAGTGAGGTTACATGTCAACTAATTCAGACGGTGGGAAGGTGTGTGCTCTCCCCGGAAGCAAACAGTGTGGCCACCAGCAGGGACCACCTCTGGACACCCGTCTCTCCACTCCTTGCCCTCTGAACAGCTTAAAGGGTGAGAGCTTCCCTATTCTTCTCATTGTTAATGATTCTCAACTAAATGACTGATGCTATTGACACTGAGAAGCAAAAAACAAAATAGAGCCACACAAACAGCCCTTAATAACTGTCAGAAGCTGATACAACACAACTTGCCTTGCATTACTGAGACACTTAGAAGCTACTCTCTTCCCTATGAGCAACTGTCCCGTCAAGATCATAGACATAAGGACTTAAGACATAAACTTAAGACATCTCTGCCTCCTCAAAGGAAAGAAGCAGGCACTATCATCAGCCCGCTGCATCAGAGTAGCCACTCAATTCAGGACCCGGAAGAGATGATTTCACTCACTTATCCAGTAATCAAGCAGACCAGCAGGCATCCAACAAGTATTTTAATAAGCACCCGTCACTTGCCAGGTACCGAATCAAATGCTACGAGAAAGAAGGGACCAGGTGGATCCCTGCCTCTATTCTACTAGCTGAGTGTTGGCATGGGAATTACAAAGCAGAGCCAGAAAAAAGACAGGCACATTCTAAACAAAGAACAGAGTCACGTAGGAAAGTCAGGCACGCTTGAGGGAAAACGGAATAATCTCTAGTGGCTCTGAAGCAGGTAGCTCGAGGGAAGAACACACTGCTCACTGTCAGAAAGAGGGATCTCAGACAAGAAGCTGGAACGATAATCAGGGACAGGAATGCTAAAGGCCTGAAGAAAAGCCTGAAACCATGGGTAAAAGGATGTATGGGTAGCAGATACAGAAATTTTGCAGGTCTGGAGAGGGATTTAAAAGCACTATAAAGACTCCAGAGTAAGTTTGGAAAGGCAACATGGGGGCAAGAAACCACAAAAATTGCTCTGTAAAGCAAGAACACAAAAGGGGTGTGTCTAGAGTAAGGCTCTCATCTGGGCTTTACTAGATAAACTACAGGTTTACTATCCCAGAGCTCTAAACTGAACTTTAGTATTGACTTCAGTTATGAATAGGAACAGTGACAGCTGCAGTTTCTGTATCAAAGAAGTCACCACTCTCTTGACATTTCATTACTGCTGTTGCAGTTATCTTGAAATACTATTGATTTTTTTTCTGAAGATGTATTTTTTTTTATTTATTTAATTTTACGAGCATTGGTGTAAGGATGTCAAGATCCCCTGGAATTGGAGTTAGACAGTTGCAAGCTGCCATGTGGCCGCTAGGAATTGAACCAGGGTCCTCTGAAAGATATATTTACTTATTATGTATACCATGTTCTGTCTGCACGTACGCCTGCATGCCAGAAGAGGGCACCAGATTTCATTATAGATGGTTGTGAGCCACCATGTGGTTGCTGGGAATTCAACTCTGGTCCTCTGGAAGAACAGCAAGTGCTCCTAACCTCTTAGCCATCGCTCCAGACCCCGTTCATCTTCCTAATGCTTCAAAAGATGACAAAACACGAAGTCATGGACAGAGCCTCCTACTTACAATCAGAAAGCACACGGTGCTAGAGCATCCACCCCTTTCCTACCATTACAACTCAACGGAACTGATTTCCTTCCTAGCCCTAAGGGCTGAATAACAGTACTGGACAGTATGGCTCAGCGGGCAGCAGTGCTGCGGTCCAGGACCGAAATGTCCCTGACTACAACAAAAAGGCCACCCATGACACAGGAGCCTCACAAGGTCCTTAATTCTCAGGGTGTCAGCTCCCTGGTCCAATTCTTTGTCCCTCTGACTCTCAACTGTGCAACATAGGCCTCTTGGATCTTACTACTCTGCCCTTCGAAAGTATTCTCCATCTAAACTCCTTTGTTTTCAAGGAAAGGACTGACTTTTTGACAAATCTGGAATTTTTATCTTCCCACCCAACTGCAATCAGTGTGAGCAGACTGCTTTCCGTCCAGTGAACTGCGAAGAAATAAGAATTCCTCCAGTGGGAGAGATGCAAACAGAATAACGCCAGCACGGAATCCTTCCAGGGCGGGGATCTTTGCGCAGTCAGAGAGCGAGATCACCATGCTCACTTGGAGCAGCATCATTACTCAATTTCAGGGAGTTCCAGCTGGCACTTTTTAAGGAAATTGAACAGCATTAAAACACACCGCAAAGTTAAGTAAGAATTGTGTCAGGAATCCTTTTTCTATCTCACACACACACACACACACACACACACACACACACACACACACACAATAGATCATGAGCCAAAGCATTTCAAGGATAGAATCATTCTCTCAAGAATCCTATGAGGGAGAAAAGCACAACCCAGGACAGAAACCAGTAGGTAAGGTCACGGATGATGTATGTGAGCTGCTGCTCTCCCGAGGGGCTACCACCCTGCAGTAGTCTGGGTTCAGTCCGAGCTCTGGTCTCTCTGAGGCTTGTGTGTGAACCCAGACTACTTCACTGCACTAGTGAGCCTCCCTCATCTATACTCAGAGGTGACTGCTTACTTCACAAGACAGAAATGCAGGCGTCCTTAAGGGCAGAAAGCACACCTGAGTGTCAGTGGCCCTACTGTGTGTTTAGGCAACGCTGGGCTGAGAGAAGGTGGTGCAGAACTCTTAATCCCAGCCTTGACAGCAAATACAAGGGGATTGGGGCTTTAGTGGGTCATGTGGGCCACCTAATGAGACCTCATCTCAAAATTGCCCCCAAAGAAAAAACTCAAACTGAATGTCCAGAGCAACAACAATGATAAAAAGGAAACGAAAAAAAAAAATCATTTGTTTTGTTTTATTAACCAAGTCACCCTAAATGCTGATATGAATTACAATGTAAACAAAGGATATGTGGAGCAGGCGTTTTCCTCCTTTCCTAAATGATTCCCCAGACCAAAAAATACAACAGTTGTTACTCTTTGGGCCCAGCACCTCGTACAAAGAGCCTATTGTACTCACACACAATTTCTTAAAGCCCCAAGCTCTTTGTACCTCCCATGGTCACACAGCAAAAGGCGGGATTTAAAATGAGTTACATTAAGAAATGAAGGGCTGGCACTTGTCTATAGTCCCAGCACTGAGGAGCCAGTGAGGCGGGTCTCTTAAGAGAGGCTGCCAGGACTTCACAGCAAGATCTTGTGTCAAAACCAACCAACCAACCAAAACACACATATATACACATATATGGGAGAAAAACATATAAACACACACACACACACGCGCGCGCGCGCGCATGCAGGAGAATAAAGAAAGGAAGCCTGATGGGCATGGTGATGCACACCTTTAGTACCAGCTCTTTTGAGGGCAGCAAGTTCCAAGACAATGAAGGCTACACAGCCTTCATTCTAAAAATGAAAAGGGGAAGAAGGGAGGGAGGCAAGGACGGATTGAGGGAAGGAGGGAGAGAGGGAGTGAAGAAAGAAAAGAAGGAAGGAAGGAGGAAGGGATGGAGGGAGGGAGGAAAGGAAGGAAGGAAAAAAGGGAGAAAGGAAGCCTGCTGGAAAGCAGAAAGCATGGTTTTGTTTTTTTTCTTTTCTTTCTGCCTTCCTATAGGTACAGGACTAAAAGAAAAAGGCCTGTGGTGAAAACCAACCACCCAGCCTTAGGATGGACACCGAGCAGCCTTAGCTGTTGGGGACCTTATCTGACTGGGTGATGAAATCACAGGGCACTTTCAGTAACTCTTGGGCTAGGGAATGCAGCTCAGTTGGTAAAATGCTGGCTGAGTATACATAAAGCCCTGGGTTTGATCCCCAATACCACATAAAACTGCTGAGTATATGGTGGCTTATACCTAGTGCTCTAGTACTTGGGAGACAGAGGGAAAAGATCAGAAGTTCAAGGTTGTCCTGGGCATACAGCAAGTTTCAGGCCACTCTGAGATATGAGAGATCCTGTCTCAGAAACCAAAGAAAAAAACCCAAACTTGCACAAAATAGCCTGAACTAGCCACTTGAATTCCAGCAGCCTGTCACACAGGTTTATCACACTTTCTTTTTCAGTTTAAATGTTTTAAGCAAATGAAGTTTTTCTTCTTGTTCTCTCTTTTAGATTGTAATTTCCTAATTTCCAGCATGTTTTGTTACTGGACTAGAGACGTAAACAGAAACCCTGGGCAATGGAGGATGGCCTGCACTCACGCCCAACACTGGGATAATCACTTACCTCCTGCAGGGTCAACAAAGTACTAAGGATGGCTGGAAGTGTAGTCTGGACAACTCCAAATCTATCTTCTGTAAATGATGCTGCTACTAAGTGCGATAGACCTTGAGGGGGAGAATACAGGGAAGCAAAATTAAAATTAGACAAACCCGTCTGGAATACATCTATCTGAGAAGACATGGATGGTCTAGATAGAAGATTATAAGATACAAGCTTATAAAATATTATGTCTGGATATAACTGTAAAAAAGAGCTGTACTATAAGATGGGACTACAGATGGAACAAGCCCGGAAGAAGTATTTAAATGCCTCAGCACCACAAAACAAAACATACAAAGAAACGAGGCCTGACAGCTGTGAGGACGCTTTTTATAGTCTGGTCAAGCAAGGCCTCCCTGGGTCTCTGAAGCATCAAGGTGGTGTTTATAAGATAAAACAGTTCATTAACAATCAAGTTTTCTTAGTTCAATGTAATGACTACCTACTGGTTGCACTTTAATTATTTATAAAGATACGGAAGACTCCTAGCCTCAACTTCTTTATTTATGTACAGAATAATTCTACCCAAATCAAAACCCATCTAGGCTTGTAGCTGCAGCTCAGCAGGCATGCTTGCCTAGCAGATATGAAGCTCTGAGTTCTGTCCCTAGGACTGCAGGCCAGGGACGAAGATACAAAAACTATCTGTATAAAACAAAGATAAAAATGTATCTGAAAATTCAAGGGAAGTCCCAGAACTGACCTCTCATGAACAGACTTCAAATTAACTGATTAAAATCACAGTTACAGATTACAGTTTTAAGATACTACTTACCTTCTAAAGCCCAAATATGCATTTGGGCATCTGAAAAAACAGCCTGAATGGAGGCCTCTGGGTGCTAAAAATAAAACAAAAATATTTAAGTCCCTTGTGCAAAAATTGCCATTTTATAATTGTGTGTTCTATAGCAACAAAAGACTCACAGCTGCCTTCCAAAATTTAAGAACTAAAGTAATTTCTTATATAAACATTAAGTATAGCAGAGCATCCAATCAAACTGACTCTGTAGCCCCAAGCCCATAAGTGCCCCAGCTTCTCATTTAAGGATCAGCCCACCTCAGTCAATCGGCACAGTGATCACTCAAGGAGAGAGTTACTAAAGCTCTTTAAAACAAAAGAACCACCTAACTACAGTTCCATCTCATAAACTGTCTACTACTGCCAACCTACCCCGCCCCCCCCCCAAAAAAAACCCGTGACTTTCTTTAATTTGCCCTGGGCTAAACAGTATGCAGCAACAACTGGCCCATCTAAATAAACGCTGGCAGAACTGGGCTGCACAGGCCTGTAAACCCAGTTACTTGGGAGGCTAAGGCAGGAAGATCTGGAATTCAAGGCCTCCACAGGCTACAGAATAAGTTTAATTTAATAATTTCCTGAGACCATCTGAAAACCCAGACAAGAAGTAAGAACGCTGGCTTTGTGTAATGGAGACTGGGCTCATCACTACAACCCTTCTCAGCGTCGTGCACATCGTTCCCACAGAACAGCTCTGGCAGAACTAAAATCAAGGTAGATATTCACTCACACAGGAAAAGACTTTCTACTCAAGACCAGAAACTTTCTTCTTCTCCACAAAATGATGACCACTGCTGGAATTACAGGAAGGAATATACGGGAAAGTGCATGGCACACATAAGACACTCAGAATAAATTTGTTTTCCCCTCTGGAGACCAAGAACTGCGATAGAACCTGAGAGAACTCTCGTCTTGTTGGTGGGGGATAAGACCCTTCTCAATAGAGGGTGGTCCCAGGTAGACTTTTTGGAAAGGCCCTTGCCCTTTAGGTACAGCTTCCCTTGGAGTGAAAAGGCAACGTGAAGAAGTGGAAATGGCTCTTCACATATCCACATATTCATAGCAGGGTTTCTCAATTTGTTCCCCATCATTGTTTGGCTTCATAGAGTACATGTGAAAATGAAAACCTTTGCTTGTGAGCCAAAGGCTCCATGAGCCCAGTCACTAACACTGCAGCGTGTACAGAAAGAGGTAAGACCTGAACACTAAAGGCGAGAGTACTTTGCCCTACGTGTGGACCAAGGTTTTGCTTCAGAAGGGGTTGACAGAAAACAGCTACATCTAACTGAAAACACAAATATTTCGTTTTGGCAACTGCAACTTCCTGCTCAGGGACAGCTAAAACGTGGGAGGCCAGCTGAAAGGGTTGTTTGGAGGCTTCGGGGTGGTCTTTAGGTCTGGGAGGGACAGGGTCTCTTAAGTTGCCAGGTCTCACTCTCAATCTTCTGCCTTAGCATCTGGAGTGCTGGAACTACAAACGTAAGCCACCATCCTGGCACAGAACGCAACCTTGTGGCCTCAACTGCAACTCTTTAATACATCAAAAATCTAACATCTGTCATCTAATTCAGTCTCCTCTTTTTTGATACCAAACAGGCCACAAAGATGTGAGCAGGAAAGTGAGTCATGAAGCACCCAGAAGCTAGATTGCTCACCAACCAGCATGGAAGGGTCAATGATGAAAATCACCACACAGATGCCAGCAGCCACAAAGGCTCAGGGGAACAACCACCGCGGCAAGACCCAGGAAGCACGGGGTGATACGGGTGTAGGGAAAGGCCTGGCTTGCTCAGATTGTTTCTATGGAATATCACAGATTTTATCTTCTACTCCGCCTTCACTTCCTCTCCCCCGTCCTCCATGCTGTAATTTATATTCTTACCTTACTGAAAAAGTACATTATCAGCACCCGTTTTGACAAGAAATTCTTAATCTGAGTAGGAAAAAAAATTAACATGGTTATACTTTCAAGTCTACTCAAATAGTACACATTTCTACATTCTTCCTGAAGAAGAGTTTTCTAAATGAAAATGTAGAAATGAACAATATTTACAATAAAATATTTAAGTACATACCTCTGTACTATGGATTGGATAACTGTAAGCCATCTAACCTTAACTGTGTTCCCATGTATACACACTGGACACCAGATTAGAGACTTGCTATTAAAAAAAAAAAAAAGACAAACAAACAAACAAAAAACCTAAGCTGACTGGGTTTAAAAAAAAAAAAACAACTTTTTTTTCTCAATTCAATAGAACTACTGGCTCTCTAAATCACCCCCTCCCTTAAAACAACAACAACAAAAACAAAACATTTTCTACAAGGTGACATTTATAGAAAATAAGTTTCCTATGTCAGAAACCCACCAACTTAAAAGTAAATTTGCACCTTGCTATGCTCACCAAAGCCACATAAGCTCCAGGGATGCAGAAAGTTGAAGCTATCTAGTTACTACACAGAAACTAGCAGGGTGGCATTTGAGTCACCCTGGTCCCTTTCTTCTACACTAACCGCATTTCATCAGCAAACATGTTTCTATCTCCCATTTACACCTTACTGCTGCTGCTCACTTCGTCTTCACCTGCTTTCTACATAGGTGTGTCAGAGTTGCCATGCCCGAGATCAAACTTCAGTTCCCCACTTCACCGCTATCAACCTCTTCATAATCAGTGGTAAATCAACTGCTTTTATGCTAGTTCAGTGCCTCAAGCCAAAAGCCTTCTCCTGCATACTGAAAGCAAATTATAAGCAAATCCTGTTACATCCAAATGAAAATCCAAACCTGACCACACCTCACCGCTGCCATCGCAATCCCCATGTCCACACACCACCTCCTCCACTAGATTACTGCGGCAGCTTTAGCGCTAGCTCTTAGTCAAACTCCAGATATGGAAAAGTCCCGCCTCAACGCCACTATTATAAAAGCTCCTTCACAGTCTAAGAGACATGGTGACATCCTATGACCAACAACACGGCGGATTTCTGTGTCACCGAGGGAATTGGCCAGGTCCGGCACCATCAGGTGCTTCAGCGCACCGACCTCACTGTGCCCTAGGCAGTCTAGTTTAGCTCTTCACACTTCTCCTACCCTGCTTCGCTTGCATGCACTGTCACATTTCTACAGAGACAGCACTCCTTTCTTTAAGTGTCGTCCTTCTTACTGGCTCTGCCTTTTCTATGTAATACTTAAGACATTGGAAGTCTCTTTTGAGTGTATTTTCCCCATCTTGGACATGATCTATCAGAATGCAGCTAAGAGTTAACAGCATGTCACAGTATGAAGCAACTTCTGCTCTTAATAGTTCCCAGAACAGTCCTTACATTAATCAGTGACTTTCTACACTTTAAACAAATACGGAGTTATATACTTGCTTACTCATCTATTTCCCGTACGAAGATATAAACATATGGGAAAGGGCTTTACTTGCTGTCTAACCCAGAGCCTAAAACTCAACTATCAAAGAACTAAGTCATGTGAAACGTAACATTCAAAACACTCAAATGTTGGTGGTTTCATGAGTCAATCTCACACATGAAGCATGAAACAAACAAAAAGCTACTGCTGCTGTGAGATCCTCAATCTGCCAACGTTACATGTAAACATAAAACCTACAGATGTGTCACCCTACCTGCTCACGCTTATTCTGAATCCACGAGTAAACCGCACTGGGCCGCCTCGCTGTCTCCCCGGCAGCGGTGACAGAGGCACAAGGAGAGGGGTTAGAGATTTCAGGTATTTGCTGGTCCACTGAGAAGAAATGGTGAGGTGAGAACTTAGTTAGGCTGCCTGCTCTCCAACTGTGAGACCTCAAACCTCAGAAAGTAAATGGCTCTCACCAGAAGTGTGAGTCCACAAGCGCGGTCCTCTTCTGGTTAGCTGAGGACTTTGGGGAGACGCATAGCACGTGTTCACATCAAAAATTCCAGCCACTCGATTCACCGCACCAGAGGCAAACGGAGTCCCCAAAGGACCTGAAACATCCGGTGTAGGTAATTTTGGAGAAAACAGTGATGTTTTAACCAACGGTGGCACAGAGGACATCTGGCTAGGTTTTGGAGTTTGATAAGCAGTTTCTTCTGTAAAAAAGCAGATGTGGTGCTGATGAGGCAACCTGGCCTTCGCAGGCCAGCAGAGGGTCTCGAACTCCACCCCCCGCCTCCTTTAAGGCAGTAAACCAAGGCACGGTAGGTGGCTCCAATTAGATTTAAGTCCCAATGTCCGATTTTATTTTTGTAATCCAGGAACCACTCAAGGAGTTTTAAATTTGTCTTATGCATTATTGTGCATGTATGTGTGTGCGTGACTCGAATGTGTGTGTGTGTGTGTGTGTGTGTGTGTGTGTGTGTGTGTGTGTGTGTAAGGACCACTTTGTGGAGCTGGTTCTCTCCTTTCACCATGGGCTCCAGGGTCAAAGGCGGGTATCAGGCTTGGAGAGCAAACACCTGAACCAGCCTGCAGGGACCTTTCGCTTTCTGTCAGAACAGGGTAGCTACACCCCGCTCCAGAGCACCTAGATTTTCAAAGGCTCATTTCTCTACCACTTTCAAATGAAGTCATCGATTGCATTTTACTTTTAAACAGCACACTTTATGGCATCAGAATGTATCCAGTTTGGCTGCATGTTCCTATTTAACTACTACTTGGACAAACACATCAAATTTATGGGAAAGATGGGCAAGGGAAAAAAATGCTGGTGTTTCCAAAAAAAGTCCCAACAAACACTAATTTGTTGCTGGGCCTGGTAGGGCAGACTTGTAATCCCAGTACTCAGGGGGCTGAAGCAGGAGAATTATTGTTCAAAGCCTACCTACGCTAAAGTTTGTCAAGCCTAAAACTCTTCTAAGACCCTGTACCAAAATGAAAAGGAAAAAAATAGGGGGGGGGCTTCAGAATGTAGCTCAGTGTTAAAACACTTATCTAGCTCACACAATCTGGGTATCAAAGACTAATTTGCCCAGGATATTTATTAATCTGACCAACAAACAGCTTCATTAAACACCATCTTATATTGGGTGAAAGTGGGTAATTATAAAACATATTCTTAGCCTGTGTGAGGATCTAGATTCAATCCCTTACCAGCAGAAAAAATAAGAACAAAAACTCAGCTTGTAACAACCAATGAAGTAGCATATTACACACATCAGAGGAACCTTCCCTAATACTCTGGAACAAAGCTTAAAGACAAATACACTGCATTAGTTTTTTGCTTTTTTTTTTTTTTTTTTTTTTTTTTAAGTAAAACTATAATTTAAAAAATTGATCCCAATACTCAGGAGGTAAAAAATGAGCAGCTTGGTCTATACAGTGAGTTCTAAAACAGCCAGGGCTCAAATAGTGAGACCCTATCTCAAAAAATAAGAAGAAACAAAAATTAAAAAATTAAACATTGAAAGTACGAGTTTTAAAGGATTAATGACTTTTAAAGGATTAATCTAAACTAGAAGTCAAAGTTGTCTTTAAAAGTTTTTTTCAATTATTCCTCAACATTAGAGACAACTTTTGGTTGAAATAGAAAATACTGAACACCTTGCTTCTGGTGAGACCCATACAAAACGGCCCAGGGTGATTGATCTCCACATGCTCATTCAGTTAGGCTTCCCAAAATTTTCTCATGGTTCCACAGCCTTAAGAAAAGCAGTGTTTCGTCACCAACCATCACCTTCCTCATTGATACCATTTTAACAGCTCTCCTTTCAGCTGGCTACACTGTCTTCGCATTACTTGTGTGCCTTCTCCTGAAAGGTCAGTGGCAAGGCTGTTTTCACCTATGAGATCCCTGGCTTCAGACATTTCTTGTATGCAGAAAGCTTTCAGTGACATGTCTGGTGAATAAGTGACAACAGTTATGGACCACCTAGGGGAGAGTGACATCTAAAACCCTGGCTAGACTTGGCTACAATCTGACATCCGTAAGCCTACTTAAAGCATGTTGCTTTAAGTAGGTTTTCCGGAGGCCAATGCTGCCCCAGGGTAATGACTCCCAACACCATGACTCTGCTTTGGTCCACAGACTGACTTGTCAAATGTGAGAATTTCCAAGCATTAGTGGTAAAGCTATCACTCACTGACCTTCGTCTCCAGCCCGGAACATCAAGCCTGGAGACGAACATGGTAAGGACGAAAAATCCTAACAAAAATATTTTCAGATTTCAGGAATTTCTTAAAAAGAAGAAAGAGGCTGAAGTTCAGATCCCACTTCTGAAGAGAGTGAGGATGAAGCAGGCTTACTCTACCCTAGCAGGCGGTCAACATGAGTCTCTTAGACGCCTGGTTCTCGACAAAAAGCCCTCGTCAGTCTGAACATCCACTTGAAGGATGCAGTGCCTTGCACAGCTTCCTCTACCTGGATTCCCTCAGTGTCTTTCAATCGAAAGGGGCACTAATAGGCCAGGTGTGGTGGTGGCGCACGCCTCTAATCCCAGCACTCCGAGAGGCAGGTGGATCTCTGAGAGTTTGAGGCCAGCCTGGTCTACAAAGCAAGTCCAGGACAGCCAAGGCTACACAGAGAAACCCTGTCTCAAAAAACAAAAACCAACAAATAAAATAAATAAAAAGAAAAGGGGGGCAGTAACACTGTTTGTGTGCTTCGAAACCATCCAGTCCCCCAGTCGCCCCAGCTGCCCTTCTGTGTGCCACTGCATCAGACATCCGCCCACTCTTACCTATGGAGACCCACCTGGCTCTGACTTTCATTTGATGACTATCGTTGTACCAGTCTTTCAAACACTACTGCTACACTGTGCATAATCTAAGCATTTTATTAACTGGCAAATGAAAAAAAAAAAAGTACTTTTTAATGTTCAATGACTTGCTACTCTGAACTGAAGTTTTCAATCTACAACAGTAACTAAGGTCTGTCTTTCTTGGTCAGTACAGTATCTGGCATTGTTGTTAAACTGGCTCACTCTCACATAAACATTAACATATATTCCTCACATATGCAAATGGGCAGGAATGAGCTCCTGTCACTTTCCAAGGAAACAGATGCACTCCCCCTCATATGCAGGAGCAGGCGTCACCTGCAGAATGCAACTTCTTGGGCTCCACCGAGTATGAAGACATTCTTCCATTTGTAGCAGCAGCTTCTTGGTAGAGAACCAGTTTCTGAGTCATATCATTTAAGAGATTCAAACACTCCCTCGAAATGGCAGTCCAGTTGTGGGGATGTCCACCTAAGGTAGTCAAACAACACTTCTGAAATGGAAAAAGTCCTGTATCCTCTTCTCCCATCTCGTGCCACTCATTCCCCCGTCACGAAGGTCTCTCTTAAACATATTCCTTTTGTGGCATGAAAGAGGACCATTACTTAACCAGCAAACACGCACAAGATACTCCTCAGACTAGCTGTTGTGTGCCAGTAACTCGGGACAACTAAGGACTGTAGAAAAATCTACTTGAGTTTTAACCACAAGCCCCAGAGCCGAAGTTCTCTGGCAAAGCACATGCAATCTTGTCAGCTGCTTGGGTCTCTGAGCCCAAGTGTAGCAGAAAAGCATGCTCCTCTTTTCCCCAGTGCCAGCACTGTGCTCCTCACCACAAAAAGGAAAGCAGCTCTGATCAATTATATTTTTATATAACTGGGTTTCATTTCCACATCACATTTAACTACAGACGATCTTTTCACAGTCTGGGAACTGGCAAGCTTGGCAAAATGATGGAGAGCTAATTAGAAAGCAGATGAAAGGTTAGCCAGGCTCTTTCCCTCTGGGGCAGGGGCTGGACGACTTCCATGCCAGGAACATGGTGAGAGCTCTGGCAAAGTCAGTCTTGGCAAGTACAGCAGAGAATGTCAGGCCTTCCAAGGATACCCTCAGCCTGTCAAATCCAGTTTGCCTACCTTCTCTCTTTAGGGAGGCAAAGGAACCTAGCAGAAGCACACAGCTATGTTCGTGGAGTTAGGTAACAAAAATGTCACTTATTCCATCTAGGAATGAAGCCACCTAAATTTCAAGGTCCTCATTAAAAGAGAAGATTCTTAGGCTAAGCTTCTCTGCTGACACACTACACAATTTCCTCAGGTTTAGGTATTTAAGGAGTTGAAAAAACGAATATCCACAAATAAATGGTTTTCCTGGTGACATAAATTCTATGCATAGCAACGTCACCATTTGTCATTTGTCACCCTCAAAGGACTCAGGATATGTGGATGGATGAACTACACCTCCCTTCCCAAAGCTTTGGAGCACCCTGAGCACACACATGCATGCCCAAGTAAGTCTATGACTCTCAGCAATACCTGGTTGGCTGAGGCTAAAAACTTCTTGCCTTCGAGACGGAGAATATTGAGAAAGCAACATCAGGTCCTGTAAGGCCAAATACTAAAGGGAAAAGAGAAAGCCTGTTAAAGCTTTAACAAAACCATATGCAAGAACTAGACTCACTACATCTCCAAAGACAAAGACAGATTCTAAAATAAAAGGAATATTTCAGAACCATAACTTTCCCTCTGTATCTCTAGGACTCTCCTGCCTCTACCTCCCTACAGAGTAGGCTCTGGCTAACACAAGAACTACAGAGCTCTCTATTCTTTCAGCTCTGGAGTGGAAAATTCTGCTATCACTTCCTCCTGGAACTTTCCCTGTCCTCACACAACATCACAGCTCTCGGCTTTGGCACTTGAGCCTGTTGTTTCGTCTGCTCCTACTCACCACTGCGAGGTCCACAAGATCAGGGATATCACCTTGCTCACTACCACATGCAAAGGCTGAGCCCATCGCAGAAACACACTGAACATCCCCTCTCCCAGGCAAGCCTGTCAGTCCTTCTGAGGGGAGTGAGTGGCGCCACCACACTTGCCAGGATAAACTTAGTCCTGCTTATGTCGTCTGCCTTTCCAGTAGGCTATGCTATGTCTCAGCCATCGACCTACCCAACGCAGCCAGCAGTACCCGGCACTAGCCTTCTACTGAAGGTTCAATAGGTGATCAAATGAGTAGCTAGCACTGAACAGCAATTAGGGCCTCAATGGTTCATTCTCCTACTTGTTTACAGCTTCTCTAGACTGTGAAAAACACTGAGTTCCAAGCATTTCCTTTAATTATTTTTAAATCACTAAGCTTAATGGGCATGTTGTTATATACCTGTGCCTTAGCACTCACTCAGAAAGTGGCTTAGGCAGGATAATGGCAAAAATCAAGCCCAACCTGGCCTACATAGCAGGGTCTTGTCTCAAAAACACAAAAATAGAAAATAAACAAGGCACTACAATCTTTTAACAGAGTAAGACATATCCTGTTATTCACAATTTCAAATTGTAATTTCAATCAAATCGGCTTTCTTTTACTTTGATTTGTAAACTTGTCTAACTTTTATGATTTATGGTTTTAGAATTATCAGTAATTCATGTCAACACACAACCACGCACACTACACTACCTCTGACCACGAGCAGTAAATGAACAAAAGCATGTCTAGACGCAGCGCTTTAAAAATGCACCAGTGTTTCACAACGATCTGTGAAAGTTATACCTTCAGCTGGCTACCACTGCATCGTATGTCTGAGAGACCTCTGTCTTTTGTGACTAGGTAGCTGGCTTAGCTGGGTGTAGGGGGCACATGCCAGTGGTCTCTCCTACTCAGAAGCTGAAACAGAAGTACAGGATGAATCCAAGAGTCCAATACCACCCTGGGAAACATTCCTACATATCTGGTGCATACACAGAATACTTTACTTCATATTTAATCACTTGAAATGATTTAAAAAAAAAAAAAAAAAAAAACAGCACTAGCAAGTAGGTAATTTTACAGTACCAACACTAGAGTGTTCTAGGCCAGCGGTTCTCGGCCTTCCTGACACTGCAACCCTTAATACAGCTCATGTTTTGGTGACTCCAACCATAGACTTAATTTCATTGCTACTTCCTAACTGTAATTCTGCTGTTATGAATTGCAATGTAAATATCTGGGTTTTCAGATGGTCTTGGGTGACTCCCCAAAGGGGTCATAACCCTTGGTTGAAAACTGCTGTTTGAGACCTTCAAATAGTATTATCTACATGACTGGCTACGCTGAATATTACCTCTAACTCTAGAAGGTAAGTCAGAGATAACTGCAAAGCCATGCACACTTCTGGTACCTTTACGATGAGGGGGGGATTGCTATTTAAGACTCTCGGGAGGCATTCCTCGGATTCTTCCGCAAAAGGTGGCTGAACAGGAAACACATAAGCCTGTTGGATACAGTGAGATTCAAAGAATGTGAAAGGGATTCTTTTCATGACCTTGCTATACTCCGTAAGCACGGACTGAGCCGATGAAGAACAAATACAATCAAATCAATATCTCAGTGCTCCTTGCCAAAGCACTGTTAAAAGCGCGTTACTGTGTGGGGCTGGGAATGGCTCAGCAGTTCAAAGCACTGGCTGCTCTTCCAGAGGACCTGGGCTTGATTCTCAGCCCGTACACTGCGAGGGTGTAAGTGACTGTAACTCCAGGCCCAGAAAACCCAATGGCCTCTTCTGGCCTCCAGACTCCAGGCACTCACGTGGTACATAGACGTACATGTAGGCAAAATGCTCATACACATAAAGTTTTAAACAAAAATAAATATATTTTCTAAAGTGCCACTGTCCCAATTTTGTCAAATGGGTACCTACGAGCAGAAATAAACTCCAGGAACAAAGATCCTGGGAAACCACTGCGAATTACCACAGTGCTGGAAAGACCAAACAGACACTTCTTTCCTATGCAAACACATCTAGACCATTAAAAAAGAGGCAATTAGTCACCTAAAAATCTTTTTGTGGAGCTCAGCAGTCTGAGTACTGGCCGCTCCTCTGAGGACCCTGGCGCCCAGCTGGCAGCTCACAACTGTATGGAACTCCGGTTTCTGGGGAGCCATACCAATAGGCATGTACGTGGAGCACATATATATATGCATGTAGGCAAAATGCCCATAAAACTGTCCAGATTAATTCAATTTGCAGAATCATTTCTTCGTGTAAATTTCAAGATCTTTTTTTAAAAAGCAAATACTGTATAACTATACATTTATATGTTAATAGTATGTATTTCTTTTTTCTTTTTCTGGTTTTTCAAGACAGGGTTTCTCTGTGTAGCCTTAGTTGTCCTGGACTCACTTTGTAGACCAGGCTAGCCTTGAACGCACAGAGTTCTGTCTCTGCCTTCCTGAGATTAAAGGAGTGTGCCACCATGCCCAGGTTAACAGTATCTACTCATTAGTATGAAAAATTAAATTAAAATCTAGGCCAACCTTATACTCAAAAACCCAGGAAGGCTGGCTCTCAGTAAAGCATGGTAAATAACATCCTGTTTAATTTCTAGGTACTCCATGAGCACCAGCTGTTCCTTAGGAATACAGACTGAACAATGAAACCGAAAACCAACTAAGTAACGTAGCTGTGAGCAGTGCTCTGCTAAAGAGCACCTTCCTATACTCTGAAACGCAGCAGTACTAACAAACAACTTCACATACTGACCTCGGTGGCATAGATTCTGAAGAGAATCCACGAGATGTACCAAGTCATCAAGAGGAAGACAGAACACAGCCACACATGGTAGAGTAGCGAGACATTCAGGAGGCCTCCTATCGTGTCCAGAGGCCTGTGAGCCTGCCTATAAAAGTAGCAAGTACCATTAACTCGGCAGCAAAGACAGGATTCCATGCTAAAAGACACAGCCCATCTGCTGGTACCTTCTAGTGCACTCTCCCTGACATTCCCTCAGAAGTTCATAGGGAAGCTGCGGGGAAGGTGCAGGCAGGAACTGGCCCTGCAGTGCCTGAGTTCTCAGTGCCACTTACTGTGAAGCCAGAGCCACGGCCACATGCCTAACTACTTAGGACAGGTGAAAGCTTATTACTGCTGATTCACAGCTTAATTCCTTGACCAGTTAAACAGGGCTAGGGAGCAGGGTACAGGGGCTCTTGTGTCACCCAGCACACAAGAAAGGGAAGGAGAGGGGCAAGAGCATCTGAAGTCTCGGAAATATGCCTAGGACGTCTGGATCAGATAGCAGCTCCGTGTGTCTGCCATACAGTTTCAGAGCATTGCACGTTACAGAAACAATGGTCTTTGCTTTTCAAACAATTTTAGAAACTATTAGAATGTTACGCTTAAAACTCACATCCTAGAAGTCCTTGAGTGACTCAGTATTGCTATAAATCCTAAAATCACAAAACCAGCAACTGTACAAAACAGAACCTGAGTCTGACCATCACCTATGGGCCCCTCTTAGGTAGCCCTGTGTCCATCTTCATTTTCCTCATGCACAGAACAGAGCATCATCCCCTCACTCTCCCTCCTCAGGCTCTCACGGATTTAAAGCAGCTTACAACAGGGTTGTTCACACAGTGCTCGCCATTCGTGGGGAAGCCCAACAAATGACAGGATCATGTCAGATCTAAGTCAATACTGACTGATGGTCTGGCTAGATGATGAAAGAATAGCAGGCACTTCACAATAGAATAAGATTTTTTGAGTTTAAGAACAAAAACTTAGATTTCTATCACATACTGTTTTCCTCTTTCCAGCTGACACAGTCTGCAATGCACTTGGTTTCTCACCTAATAACTAAGTGGAGAATAAAACTAAATCTTACCTAGGAACTCATAAAAATAATTGCAATCTACAGGACCTCTAAAATACCCAGCTGTGTCAAAATCCCAACTCTCTGTAACTGAACCTAGTGGACTCCATATGATACAAGCCTCACAGTGAAGTAACCAAAAATTAAAAGGACACACAATGGAGGAAACTGACTTTATCCAGTAAATACAGGTTAAGCCCATTTTGGTCTGTTTATTTGAAACAGGATCTCCCTGTACAGCTCAGTCTAGCCTTGAACTCACAATCCTCCTTGCCTCAGCCTCACTAGTCCTGGGGCTGAGGGAATGCGCTGCGCCCAGCTTAGATGAACCCTTGGCTGTGAGCAAAGTGTGAGTGGGATAAGACAGAGCACTGTAGTGCATCCACGTGACTGCCACCTTCATCAACTATGGCTGCATCACAGGCAAAGTGAAACCAAGAACACATCACGAGTATGCGAAGCTTCCATGTTTATCTGATGGCTAAGCTACTCCTATTGATCAAAAGTTCTGTGAGAAAGTGGTGATACAGCTAAGTAGATAAAGGCATTGCAGCCAAGTCCAACAATCCGAATTCACACCTCAGGATTCACATGATAAAAGGAGAGACCACACTCAAGGGAAAGAACTCCCTCAAGATGGCCTCTGATGGTCACACATATGCACACTACATAAATATAAAAATGTTTTCAAAAATGTGAGAAAACAAAAAAGCATTTATTTAGTTAGTGAGTTGTGGTTTTTTTAATAAATCACAGATACAATGAACACGAAAAAATCTGTGGTATATAATAAATGAAAAAGATAGACACGGCCATGCGACTCAGAAAATGATAACTAACAGCAGCATCAAAGCAGCTGACTATTTCTCATGTCTGGGAGAAGTCTGAGTGAGTGGAGACAGGCAGGAGTCTTTCACTCTGTTCTTTCCATTTTGGTTTTGAGACAAGGTCTCACCTTGGCTGGCCTAAAACTCACTATTCTGTAGATGAGGCTGGCCTTCTGCCTCTGCTCTCGAGTGTTGTGTGCCATACTCTCGTACAAGTCTTTGCATTTTTAAACTGTGGGAGCTACATGCATTCAAAAATAAAGGCAATTTGTTTCCTGAGAACTGTGTGCATGTGTCTTTGTTCGTGTGGGGGTATGACTCAGAAATATTAGTAATTTATTAATGACTTCATTACATTGAAAGATTATCTACCTTCCAGCATCTTTAGAGGATTAAAGTGAAGCAGACAAAGCGCATGGCATTTGGTATTCAACACCCAAACTTAGTTAAGAGTGAGAAGCTAAGTCCATCACAGGACAGACTGGCCGGAGAGGGCATGGTGTCAAGCACGCTTGGCCTTCACCTGATCCACAGTGGCTCAGGAGTGTGTACAGCAGGGTGAGTTTTCAACTATACGCAGGATGGGGCAGGGGTGAGCCAGCACGTTCCTGTTATGTCAAGTACCTCCCTCTCTTCTGTTACTTCAATTTAAAAGAAATTAAAGGATGAAGCTAAACAATGCATCTAGGAAGTAGTAAAACTTAAAAGGAAGGAAACAGATAAAACTGGACTTGACTTACTCCTCTATGTGAAGGTCCATGGCAGTGCTAATCCAAGCTCTGGGAATATGTCCTGGGGAGAAAACACCAAGACAGGAACATGAGCAGTTAGTACAATCCCTCACCATGCTTAGAAGACCTCAGTGAAAATGCTAGGCTGCCTGACTAGGAATAGAGAAGAAAAGGGACGAGTTTCCAAGTCCCGGAAGCCCTTCCTCTCAGATACACATGACGTCGCCACCATGGTTATTAAAAACAAAGCAGATCCAGACAACTATGAGGGGGCGTCTGCAGCCATCTAGCTTTTCAGTGCACAGTCACGTGGCTAACAGCACACGCCACCAGCGGTGACCATGCCTATCAGCCCATCTCGAAGTCTACAGGTGAGCAGTCACTCATCCCTGCCTCTGCCTCACACAGAGCAAAACGTGTAGCCGTGGTGCTTCTGGGCTGGAGAGATGACTCAGCAAGCCAGAGCTGCCACCAAGTCTAATTACCGAAGCTGATTCCCAGAACCACAAGCCGCCCACCGCATGACACGCTCACCATCTTTAGTCGCGTAGCACAGAGCTGTGCGCTCTGACTGCCGTGCAACAGCTCCCCGGGTCTTCCTCCCCACACACGACTGCACACTTAGCCCCTGCACAGGCTCCCCACCCCCGCCCCGGGCCCTGTCTCAGCCTCTAGAGCCACTCACTTCTGTTCTAAGGCTGAGCATCTGTTTCTGAGGTGAACATAACTTCACGATTTACCTCGTGTCCAACACGAGATCTCTCTGTTAGAGGAGTACTTTACATGTGTATACCACATTTCCTTTAATAAAAAATTCCTTTCACTAAACCCTGACAATCCACACAATGAAATCAGTGGAGCTGATCAAGCACAACTAGAAAAAATGAATTCAAGAGTAACTTTGCAACTGGCATTTTCTACACTGTGAGCTAATAATATACTATATTTAGAAAGTAGAAATTCTTACCAAAAAAATAATACACAATGCAGAAATTTCTGACCACGAACAGGGACTCCACACAGCTATGTTTAACTAGTAAGAGGAGAGATCTCCTGAAGCGCAAAAATTTGTACTGCTGTGGAAGACAACAAGAAAAAGTCAAATGGCATCTCCAGCACCACCCTGGGTGGGCACACCAGCAGAGGCAGACGGTGACACAGTCATTCAGAGGCCGGGTTGCAGCTTGATGCTGTAGCAGCTTGCCTAGCATGTGTGAGGCCCCGGTCAACCCCCACCACCAAAACCTAAATTTAACGAAACACACCATAAGCTGCCGCCTATGAGATGGCTCAGTGGATAAAGGTGCCTACTGCCACGCCTGGTGACCTGCGTTCTATCCCACATGAGACAATATGGTACAAGAGAACCAACTCCCACAAGCTGTACATACATATAAACACACACACAGAAAGAGAAAAGAGGAAAAATTCTAATTTAGAACTTAAAAGACATTATTCATAATAACTATATAGACTATTTTAATGTTTAAATATTTAATAATTTTTACACTATACAACTAAGATCAGAAATAAGATGATTAACACTATGAATCCATGTTATGTTAAGGACTACTGATGAGGAACATACAAGGAAACACAGCGGCTCAGCAGCCCCTTCTCCATGGGGATATATTCCAAGAACTGGTAGATGCCTGGCAGTGCCAAACCCTGTGTATACCACGCTTATCCCATGTACAAAACATGCTAATGATAACAAATATTCCAGTAAGATAATATCTAATGATAAGCATATCTAGCGCTTGATTAAACCTTATTATTTCTGGAATTTTCTATTTAGTAAAGCCAACTGTGGTTGATGGTGATGAATAGAACAGCGCCGGGGACGTGCCGGGGCTTCCTGCGGACCCCTCACTGTGCACTCTGAGCAGGGAGGGTGGTCCAGTCACTCCCACCTCACAGGCCTACGGAGGGAGATGGACTACCAGGCCCACCTTGCAGACATACAACTAAGGCACGGGGAGTGTGTCACCACCGCACGCGGCTAGCCCGCGGTAACCTGTATTAGGGATCCAGCAGGCCAGCTGCAGAGCGCATCACCTCAGCGCCCGTGCTGCGCTGACTCTGCAGACCCTGCACTAGGTTACGTGCAGACACCCGGGAGCACCTGCCCTTGCACCAGGGGTGAAGCCAGGTGTGCACGGGCAGTAACCCTGGGCATGTCACAGTGCTCTAGTTAGCGGCAAAATAAATCGATTTGCTAAATCAAAGCAGTGCCTTACTGAGTATTTGCAAATTCTATTAACAAAAAGTTATCAAAAAGAAAAAGTAACAAAACCACACTTCAGAAACATTGGCTGAATGCGTCCTCTCCTTGCCACCATTCGCTCCCAAAATGCCAACGGAAAACCAACTAACTTGAGGGAGTCTTAACCTGTGATCCAAAGGTGAGCTTCCTCTATTATCGGGCTGACCCTTCTTTAAGGACTTTTAGAAGCTAAAGAAAAGCAAAGGCCTACGTACTAGATGGAAGCTTCTTTTATAGCGTGATTATAAAAAGCAGCCGATGTGAATACCTGGTCACAAACGGTAGTTGGCACTCTACTGGTGCAGGCAAAGATCTCAACCAAGACATGGAACTGTACCACGCAAGGATACGGTTTCTACACAGCTCTTTACTGCCAAGGTGCACAGCGCACCCACCCTATCTCCATTTGCTCCCGAGTTTAAATGATTTTCAATTAAATTTTGGAGGGCCTTGGCTACTTAATTTATCCACCACCACCATGCCAGACACCCCACTACTCCTCTACAGCTTCCATCCTGTTCCATGTTGCTGAAGATGTTCCCTTTTTGTCAGGACCAGCATTAAGAATCTTTTCCCTGGCATACAGACACAGAATTAAACTCAGCCTTAAAGGGGAAAAAAAAAAAAACAACCCAGGTAGAGCATAGCGGTGCACCCCTTCAATCCCAACACTCGGGAGGCAGAAACAGGCATATCTCTGTGAGGCTGAGGGCAGCCTGCTCTCCACAGTGAGCTGCAGGCCATCCAGGGAAATAGGGAGGTCCTGTCTAAAATAATACTAGTAGGGGTCACAGTCATAGTAAAAAAATAAACAAATCAAATAAAAAGGAATCTGAGAACTGATAGACTAAGATCAGAAAGGAGAGGAGAACCTCCCCTATCAGTGGACTTGGGGAGTGGCATACATGCAGAAAGGGGAGGGAGGGTGGGACCGGGAGGGGAGGAGGGAGGGGCTTATGGGGGGGGATACAAAATGAATAAAGTGTAATTAATAAAAAAAAAAAAAGAATAAAAAAAAATAAAATAAAATAAAAAAATAAAAAGGAATCTGACACGAACATTTTAACAGTTTAAAGCAAACTAGTGGACTGATCTGATCTTTCATTAAAATACTTAGTAAAAAATATATACACTATGAAGCTATTTATGTAAGTCCTATCCATAAAACATTTTAGACACATACAAACATTGATACCTCAGGTCACACGTGTAAACATGAGCTCCAGTAAAAAGTCTGGGAACATATAAGCTGGGAGCGGTGGTTCCCCTGGGACAAAGACTAAGACTGACCGGGGAGGTCACAGGGACTCTCAGTTTATGGCAATATTTGAGTATTTGCCAACAAACATGCCACCACATTCTTGGGAAGCTGACAGCCTGCACTTAAAATAATGACAACAATGATGATACTAATGGTTAGTTCTCTTGTGTGAAAAAACACAAGACAGGGAGACTGGTGAGGTGGCTTAGCAGGTAGAGGCTTGTTGCCAAATCTGACACCCTACAATCTGACAAGCCCTGGAACCCACACAGTGGAAGGAAGGAACTGACTCCCACAGTTGTCCTGACTCCATACATACTTATGGCATAAAATGTGCGTGTGTGCACACAACTGTTAAGTCTCTTTTCTAGTGAGTTTAACTATGAAGTTAAAGTGGCTATGCCAAGGAGGTAGTAATACATACCTGAACCTCAGCACTCAGGAATTAGAGGTAGGAAGATGTCCACAAGTTCAGCCTGGCCTACATAGCTAGCACTGGTCATGCGTACATAATGCGATCCCATCTCAAAAATGAGTCAACAGGCCAGGCATGGCCGCACATACCTTTAATCCCAGCACTTGGGAGGCAGAGGTAGGCGGATCTCCATGAGTTCAAGGCCAGCGTGGTATATATAGTGAGTTCCGGGATAGCCAAGCTACATAGTAAGACCCTGTCTCAAAAACAAGGGCAGAAAATGAAATAATGGCACGTAAATAAGTAAATGACTACAAGTAGCCCATCACTCTTCAGTGAGAAGGAATGGGCTTGTCTTCTCACGTCAGCTGTTTCCCATCAACTCCCCCTGCTTTATTCACCAGCTTAACATGTACAAAACAAGACCGCATAGTGGGCGTGAGCAATGCTCCTAGACCCCTGAAAAGCCTAAGCCAAAGGGTGCTCCTGCCCCCAGTCCTACAGGGAGGCAGACTTACCACACAATAAAAACAAAGACACAGACCTGACTGCTCTGGGCACGCATCTATCATCTCCAGCGGCATCAGCCAGTCTCCCCGACTCCACTGTCCTGCCCACCGCCCAGCAGATGGCCACACACTGGGCGCTACAGGACATGTCCCAGTATAAATTCTAGCCAAATGTTAAAATTTTAGAGCTAGGTATGGTAGCACATGCCTGTAACTAGAACTTGGAAGCTGAGGCAGAAAGATTCAGAATTCAGGACTAGCCTGAGCTACGCAGTAAGACCCTGCCTCAAAAATAGACAGGTAGGTAGATGGATAAATTGATAGATGGATAGATGGATGGATGGATGGACAGACAGATAAGGCCAGGTGGTACATGGCTGTAATCCTAGCACTCAGGATTACAGAGGCAGGCAGATAACTGTGAGTTCAAGGCCAGACCAGCCAAGGATACACAGAGAAACCCTGTCTTGATAAAACAACAACAAAAAATTTTATAAAGCTAAAGTGAAAATTTGTAATCTTAGAATAAACTTTTGAGATTCAATAATCTAAAATTTTACCAAAAGAAATTACAAAAATAAGAACTAAACTTTTGCATTATATGGTAGAAGCAATCACTTATCAGCCCTGTTAACGAACAGTTCCTGTGTCACTGGTTGACCTCACCCAGAGACCCAGCAAGATGTTCAGGACTGTCTTCTTTTCTCATGTTTTGATCTGTTGTGTCTGGACTTAAGATCACGGACAACAGGGTATTCCTATGCGGAGCTTTTCTCCGAGTAGTGTGAATGCATCCTGCTTTCACAGCCTCTTCACATCTGTGACGAGTTCCTAAGCAGGAAGCTCTTCCACACTAGCATAACTGAAGGAGGTGAGGATCAGACGATCTGAGCGACACGATCGCCTCGGTGTGTTCTCACCAGTTCTGTTCTTCCAATGCAACGGGCATGTGAAAGGTAAGCAGGGAGAACCCTGGCATGCATTACCACACGTGACTGCTTCATGCCTATGTGTGTCAAAATGCACATCTGGAGGCTAGAGGGCACCTCGTGAAGCTGATCCACTGTGGGATTCAGAGACTGAATGAAGATTGCCAGGTTTGTGCATCTATCTGCTTCCCGTCGGAGTCGTGAAAATGGTGGTGAGTGAGCTGGGAAGATGCTCAGTCCAGGGTTTGCCATCCACGCAGGAGAGCCTGCGTTCAGATGCCCACCCACGCAAACAGACAGAAACGGCAGCACGTGCCTACACCCCAGCCCCAGCCAGATACACACGATTCTGGAGCTCACCGGCAGCTGGCTTTGCCAAGTTAGTGAAGTCCAAATTAACTGAGAGACCTTGTCTCAAAAGCTAAAGTGAGAAGCAACTGAGGAAGAGTCGACATCAACCCCCGGCCTTAACACAGGCATGTGAGCAAGCACACACGTTACTGCAACCCTCAAACCAGGAGAAAAGAATTTTGCTTCCGCACCTCCGGCTTGTTCTGCAAAGGGCCTGAGACAATAACTGACGTGCTCTTCAATCACTTGCGCACGCACCCCGAAGCCCCTGACATGAATGTGCCATTCTCCCCTCCAGGCCAGGAAAGGAAAGAGGGGGACTTCCCGAGTGGCTGCAGGAAAGCATGGCCACAGCCCTCCAAACACACTGAAGTCTCACAGACACAGATGTCCTCTTCCTAACCAAACTTTGAAGATTTCAGTGCTAAGGAACCTGCACGCGCATGTGCGTGTATGAGAGGGGTGAGTCTGAATGGGAGTGCGTGCTGGGGAGGGGGAGGGCAGCCCAGTGTGCTGGCCTTGGCTGTTCCAATGTGTTTAAGATAGGGTCTGTCCACCCCACACCCCCAGGCCAGATGACCTCAGAGCTTAGGGAGGTCCCAGCCGCACTGGGATTAGGGACAGCTGCGCTCCTGCACTTTCACAGAACCTGAGCTTGGCTGACAGGTGACATTATCCACAGAGCCATTTTGGTTTTACTGATCAAATCTTGAAGTAGCCAGAGGAGGTTGGCCATATGTACAGACATTATCAAATGATAGCTCAGGAAATACTCAAATTGTATCTTACCTGTATAATGGGAAAGGGAAGATAATTCATGTTGTTAATGAAGTACAGAAGACTGTAGCTATAGCCCATGAAAGCTCCAGCCAGTAGGAAAAACAGATGATACTCATTCAAGCAGGTTTGGGCAACTGGGCTGTCTAAGCTGAGGGGAAAAGTTAAGCTATTAATTCAACAAGTAAAAACACATTATCATTTTTTTAAGACTATTTGCCAGAAGACAAAATTCCATGTTAGTCACTTAAGAAATGCCCCAAATTCTAACAAAATGACTCACTTAAGGTAAACAGGAGCAAAAGGTTAACAAAGCATTTTCCCCTGACGCACAGGCTCTGACTATTCCTCTGTTGCCTTGGAAATCTGAGGTAAGAATGTGTGCAATGGTCATGCTGCTTCCAAAGCAAGGTGACTTCATCTGAACAAGAACAAAAATAACCTGTGTGCACCTAATGGAAGTGCAGGAGTCCTCGGCTGCTCGCGTTTCTCCTAGTGCGCATCTGGACGCCTGGACAGACCCCAGATCTGAGCAGCACTGGCCTCTACAGCAGGGAGCCCACACCTCCCTCATGTGGACCTGGTTTCCTGCTCCCTGCTCTATCTGCCTGCATCCATGTCCTACCATTGTCATTCTCAAGCAGCTTAGAGGCCTCCAGGCCTCACTCTCAGAAATCCAAGTGTCTACACTGCACCTTCCACTCAGAAGTCTTTAAAAGTGTGCTTACTTCCTCAAACCTAAAACACCACTAACACTAGATACACAGAAATAGGGACTTGTGTGAGACTCTGGAAAGCATCTCCTCTGACTTGGTTAAGTAAACAGGATTCCTAGATAGAAAAACAAAAACTTTAAAAACAAAGATGTACTCTACCTCTCAGATCCGGCACAGGGAACCACAAGGAAACCGTACTGGCCCTTGGTGATGACGGCCGCACACCAGGCCACGGCCGTTCCCATGGCGGAGTGTATGAGTGAATGCATGAGCTGCTGGGGGTGAAGGATCCGCCCTATCAGAGCCAGTCGGGAGCCAGGTATGGAGGGCACAACTGCAGAGAAAGCACAGCACCAGGGCTTCGTGACTATGGCGCCAGAAGCCAGAGGAGCCGACACCTTTCCTCTCACCACAAACAAGCACCCAATCAGTGTAAAAGCCACAACTTAAGCCAACAACTCTAACTTTAAAACTCTTGATAAAAATAAGAAAAAAAAAAAAAAAAAAAAAAGAGAAAGAAAAGAAAAAAAAAAAAGAGATACACATACAAGAAAAGCTAGGGAATCTAGAGATGGGCCTAGAAGAAACAAAAACTTTTCATCTTTCTTGTTTTTGTTTTTTTTATTTGTGTTACAGACAAGGTCTTAGGTTGCCCAGGCTGGTCTCAAACAAATTATACAGTGGAGGATGTATCCGAACTAATATCCTCCTGCCTCTGTCTCCTGATTGAGATGTACACTCATATACTAACCACTGAAATTGATATTCCCTGATAGCTAAGCTAATATAATGCCAACTCTGACATCTTTCTATGTGCCATAAAATAATTTAGAGGATAGCTCCAAACTGCCTTTATTCAACATTTGAAACTCACTACAATCCATCCATGAAAATAAGCCACTGAGATAAAAACCAAATAAGGAATATTAAAATAAATACTTGTTATTACACCCCCAACTCTCAATAGGTATCTTCATTAGAGTGTATCATTTATTTGCAGGAGGTATGTGTGGAGGTTAGAGTTGGTTCTCCTTACCCCGCTGAGCTTCCATACTAGCTCCTATATAGGTAGTTTTGGGACCTCTCCAACAATCCAAAAAAACTCTCTGGAAGTAAGCTGGGGAAGAACTGTGTTAATGGAGTAAGGGTATTTCTGTCAGAAAACAGACAGGCTCCCTGACATAGACACCCAAAGAAAAGAAAGATGGCTGTGTGGGTGAAAACCAGGAGTGAAGGGAAAGGGCTCAGATACCTGGGATTTTAGGGAAGAAGCTGCTATCTCCTCATCTTCCCCACCAAAAATGCCCCCAGAACCAACCCTGTGACTGACTTCCTAATATGACAAACCCTGCCATGTCACTCAGCATTCTTCCAAGTTTTGTTTCTCTTTAGAAAATCCTTTCTCTTCTGTGCTTAGTACAACCCCTCCTTCAAAGTCTGGTCCAGCCGCCAGCGCCGCTGGGGAGCCGCCATGCTCAGCCAAAGGTGCCTCTGTACTGGCTCCTACCTGCCCTGCGTCCCTGGGGACAAGCACACCTCACAGATCCTCAGGAGCAGGCTGGGAGCACACCATGCATGGCGAACACACGCATAGGCTTACTCTGATGAGCCAAGTGGCCATCGAGGCCCTGAAAACACTTGCCCACGCCTGTAATCCCAGCCCTCGGGAGGCAGAGGCAGGCAGATCTCTGCTTGAAGCCAGCCTGCTGCACAGTGACTTCTAAAACAGCCAGGGCTACACAGAGAAATCTGGTTGCAAAAATAATACAAACTTGAGCGCCCTCACCTGGCACACATATGGCCCAGGAGCATAGGAGAGAATGAACAGGCCACAGGCCAAAGAGTCTGAACAGGGCTTAAACAGACAGACACCTGGCTGGCAACAAAGCACTCAGAAAGCAAAGAAAAACGATACATATTACCAGTATCCAGTCAGACTTAAAATTTTACATACTGTTTTTTAATATAGAATTTTTTAATACTAAAGAGCTAAAAGGAAAAATGTTACAGCAACATAAATAAATGAGTAAGTAAATAAATAATCAGAAAAAACTTATGTGACAAACTCAGGAATCTGAAAAGGCAAAAAACGAATAAACCAAGGGGAAAAATGCTCTGGAATCCAGGATCCTCCCAAAGTAAAGCCATTTTTCTTAATTAAATATTATAAAACCACAGACTTTGTTATTTTGGGGCGTGCACTCACAAAGCCAATAACATATGCTTGCAATCCCAGTATCTAGGAGGCTAAGGCAAGAATATTACAAATCTGAGGTCAACTCAGATTTGGTCCCCTACCCTATCCGGAATTATTTCACAATTCATTTGCTAACTCACAGCTTTAACACTAGCTGTCAACTATTAAAAAAAATTATGTTTATTTTTTCATTGTGGTAAAATATAAAATAAAATTTACCATTTGAATCCTTTTTAAATGAACAATTCTGAGACAAGAGTACATCCACACTGCTGGCAAGCAGCCCCTGAACTCTCCTGACCACCTCCCAGCTGGCCTCACCCAGTGGCCATGCCCTTCTCCCGCAGCCCCTGCACCCCCAACCCTGTCCTCTCCATATAAGGAGACCCTGTAAGCAGACCCACATCATGTCTCTCCTAAGAGGCCTAAACGTATCTTCAAAATAGAAACACCAGAATAATTGTAAGAATATTTTGAATTGTAACAACTGAAAGAGTAACAAAACATGGCTACGCACATGTTTTTGGCATTCTGCCCTGGGTAAAACGAATTATTTTTGTTTCATTTTGTTTGAGACAGTCTGCCATCTAACCTGGGCTGTCTAACTCACTACATGGCCAAAGACTTTATGGTGACCCTCCTTCACCCCTCCTCAGTGCTAGGATTACAAGCGCGTACCACCACACCCGATGCCCAAACTTCCAAAAAGCTTAAAATTCGGAAACTTACCTGTATAGAACTCCACATTGAAAATACTTATTATTATAACTACCACTGACAGCAGCAGGAGGTAAAAGATGACTTGAGAACTATATAAGTCGTTGAAAGACTCTAAAACACAAGAGAAATGAATCAGTGCTGTCCCTGTAGTCTTAGGCGCTGTGTTCAGCGCACTGCAATACAACAAGAGTTAGAAACACAAGTACAGTGTCTGTGGACGTATGTGTGCCCGAGGACACAGCACAGGACTGTGCGGCAGCTGGTTTGCTCTGAGTGCTGGGATCCATCCCTGGTCCCCGTTAACACCCTAACCCAAACACTGAGCCATCGCAGCAGATTCTGCAGCTACAATTTCAACTTGTTTTTTTCCCCAAGCTGGCGGGTCCAGTAGGATGTCAACACAAGAAACCCGAACTGAGCCCTTCAGATTTTGTTGTGGGTACTGGAAAACGGTGTTAGAATTTCTTTAAATAGCACACGTGTTAGTAAGAGAGAGAACACAACCACACACAACCATGCCGTCATGTGAAGGCTACCGCAGTAACATACCAAGCTTCTTTCCAAACACAAACAGTATTTTTAAACTCTACCTGGTAAGTACAGTTAGTGCCTATACCTGAAGTCAAAGCAACACGGAAACAGCATAATTTATAAGTCATCTAAAGGGCTGGTCTAAATAACAAAAACCAATGATGTTCCTGCGAGAACTAAAACACTCACATTTCAGGCTAACTCAACAACCAACATGCTTCCAAGTTTAAACTATGTACATGTTATTCTCTAAAAACATGAACAAAAGAAACACAAGGGACATCTTTGCGGAATAGACTCACTTAATAATGGAAACAATTATTTTTCAAAGTAGAATTCAGAGACCAAAATCTCACATTTCCTAAGCCTCCGAAATTAGGCATCTGCCATCTCTGCTCTGGCTTATCGGTAAATTTCACCAGTCCTGTGTGACTTAGCAAAGACTGATACATGTCAACAAGACATGACTCGCTGCTTAGCAGCAATATTTCCAAAGGCCAAAAAATAAAAAATTCTAGCTCCTTGATAACTAACACTTTTTTATAAAGGAAGATATTGTTGAGAAAAGAATTTTCCAAAAGTAATTTGTGGGTTTTTTTGGATTTTCTCCTTTAAAGATTTATTATTTATACAGTATTCTGCCTGCATGCCAGAAGAAGGCACCAGATCTCATTCTAGACGGCTATGAGTCCCCATCTGGTTGCACAAAAGTGCAAACCTTTATTTGTGTGCTACCTTTTTCTTTCTTACTATGTATCTAAGGTCTCACTCTATGTCCCAGACTGGCCTTGAACTCTGATCGACCTGACCGTCTCCCAAGTGACACTGGGCCAACAGGTACACACTACCACACCTGGCTACTTAGACAGTCTCCTAATGATCTTTCTGCTCTGCCATCGTACATAATCCGACACACTTGCTACTTTTATATAATAAAAATGGGAATTTTGTGCTATTCGGGGAGTGCCTTGACCTAACCTCAAAGTGAATGTTGTGATGTGTCAGTATGGACAGTATAGACTTACCTGACAGCCATTGTACAGGGTGGAGTAAATCGATGCTGCTGAAGGTTATAAAGGCTGTGGTGCAGATGGGCAGAAGCGACACTGACCAAACGATGCTTGCAACTACCCTCCAACCCAAAACCTAAAATTAAACACAACTCCTCAATCATGAAGCCAGTTACACTAATTTAGTCATGCAAATCCACTTCTTCGTATAGGTCACTAACCCTAACCATTTCTAAATGTATCCAAATCATGTCCACGCCCATTCAGACCCAACGGTTGCCAAACCACTACTGAACCGTATTATTGTCAGGAAACGGATGCTACTGGCACTGGCTTCCGAGTCAAGTGTAATTTAAGGCGGGGGGTGTGTGCACACTGACAGTCTGACACACGTGAACACATACACAGAAAAAAGATAAAATAAAAAGGGAACAAATGCTATAGGACTTAAGTGTGATTGGTGATACAGGTAGTAACAGGCCAAAATGTTTTTAGCCTAGGCTAAATTACAGTACATCCAGGTAGAGTCAGTATCCGAAAAAAGAATCTCTTTGCGCCTAAACAGACTGGACGCAGGAGCAGTGTTAAATAAACCAGGAATAGATGCTCGTGTTAGCGCCTCCTCAACCCCAGCGTCTCCTAAGGCCACACCACATTCAACACGGGGCACCCAAGGAATCAAGCCACTTGTTACGCAGCAGCTCGAAGAAGCGCTAACATTTTGCGCTACATCCCACCCACGCTGGCCAACTTCCACTTGGGACTCCAGCTCAACAGCCCAAACTTAACTTCCACGAAGGACACCCCCACACCTCTGGACCCAACACCCCGGGCTATAACCAAAACAGCCCCGAAACAGGCCCCTTCCAGCCAAGCGCGCACGCACGCACGCACGGCCGGAGCCTGGCCGCCCAGCCAGAGAGGCAGCGAGCGCCGCAGCGTGCTAACTCACACGCCAAAGGATGTTCCGTGACCGGCCGGCACAGGGCCCGCTCGCAGCCGTGGCCATGGGGATGGCGGCCCCCGCTCTCCAGCGTGCAGGGGACGAAGTGCCCGCCCGCCACCACTGTTCAAAGGCAGGGAGGGCCCGGGAGGACCCCGCTGGGGCTGCCCGGAACGCTGCCTGAGCAGGGTCCTGCACAGCCGCCAGACCATCTCCCTCCAGCCTCGCCTGAACAGCCTCAACTGGCCAGAACTGCCCCGTAGCCACATTCCCCCAGGACGGCTGTGACTCTAAAAACGGTCCTCCGGAGTCCAAAAAGTCCTTCCGAAGCAGAGTCCATCGGGGCGTCAAAAGCAAAGGGCGGTGGTGCTGCATGCTGGGAACTGTAGTCTCGACGACCTCTGCGAACCAAGGGGAGGAGGAGCGTTGCATTCTGGAACTTGGAGTTCCAAAATACAGGCTTGCGGTGCAGGAGCTGTAACGTGAAGCATGCTGGGGTGTCAGGTCCCTGGAACTGAAGTTACAGACAGTTGTGAGCTGCCATGTGGGGACTGGGAGTTGAACCTGGGTCCTGTTGGAAGAGCAGGCAGTACTCGTAAGAGCTGAGCCCTCTCTCCAGCCCCTCCTTTCTTTTCCTTTTCCTTTCTTTCCTCTTTTCTTCCTTTCTTTCTTCTTCTTTTTTTAATAAATAGCCACTGGAAATGCGAGAGGAAGGATGTTATACAGTCAGAACTGAAAATGTGATTTTTCCGCTCTTTTTTTTCAGAATGCCATGTTTCTAAAAGTGAAATCACAGGCCTCATCTTAATACTCAGTAACTTCACTAAAACCCTTTTTTTTAATAAATGGGTGTTTTGTTGCTTTAAAAAAGGTGTGTTTTCATGCTAGCGAGGATGTGGGAAAAGGGGAGCCCTCCTCCATTGCTGGTGGGAGTTCAAACTTGTATAACCACTTTGGAAATCAATCTGGCGCTTTCTCAGAAAACTGGGAATAGCCATACCAGCTATACCACTCCTGGGCATACACCCAAAAGATGCTCCACCATTCAGCAAGGACATTTGCTCAACCATGTTCATGGCGGCTTTATTTGAAAAATAGCCAGAAACTGGAACCAACCTAAATGTCTCACAACCAAAGAATGGATAAAGAAACTGTGGCACACTTACACAACGGAATATTACTCAGCATTAAAAACAAAGAAATCATGAAATTTGCAGGCAAATGGATGGAACTAGAAAAGTTCATCCTAAGTGAGGTAACCCAGACCAGGAAAGACACACATGGTATGTACTCGCTTATAAGTGGATTTTAGCCATATAGCACAGGATAGACACACTACAAATACAGACCCCACGAAGATAAGTAACAAGGGGGACCCTAGGGAGGACTCATAAATCTCAATCAGAAGGGGAAATAGAATAGACAGAAGTAATGGTGAAAGAGCAGGAACAAGGACCATCAGAGCCCATCAACCAGGGCCCAGAGGGGCCTATGGAGTCTGAAGCACCAACCAAGGACAATGCATGGTCTGGACCTCGGTCCTTGACCTACAAATCCCCGATGGGCATCTTAGGCTTCATGTGGGCCACAAGGGAGGAAGACAAACTCAGTCCTCATGTGAATAGGTGAGCTGGGGTCTCTGGGTGGGGGAGGGGCTCCCCGATTCTGAGGGAATAGGGGAAGGGAAGTTTTAGGAGGGAGGGTGGTACTGGGAGGAGAGGAGGGAAGGACCCGTGACCGAGACGTAAATTTAATTAATAAAAAAAATTTACAAAAAGAGTGTTTTGTCTTTCGCTTCAGCTCTTACACTTTTGATCCCCTTTGAGCCTCTAGGCCTTCAAGCATAAAATAAGAATAATAAAAAAAACAAAAACAAAAAAACAAAAAAAAAAAAAAACCAGCATCCTGTTGATGGGGTGAGGATGTAAATACCATGCTATAAAAAGACAAGCATTGAAGACTGGAGTGAGGCTGAGTGAGCAGAGAATGCTTTCCTTATGCTCACCAAGCCCTAGGCTTGATCTACAGCACACCCTTCCCCCTCCCCAAAAAAAAAAATGTGGCACAGTGGCACATGCCTATAATCCTGGCACTCAAGAAATTGAGGCAGGAGGATATAAAGTTCAAAGTCACCCTCAGCCAGTGGGTTTGAGACTAGTTTGGAATATGTGAAGCAGCTGTCTCCAACAAGAAGTTTCCCACGGACGAGGAGGTAGCCCAGTTAGCAGGGCCTACACTGAGTGCCGGGACCCCAGGCAGAAATGCTGAGCGTGGTGGTGGGAACTTAGAACCCCTGTGCTGGCAAGGTGAAGATTGGGAGCCCTCTGGGCCAGTGAACCAAGCCTGCTCTGAGCCAGTGAAGCAAGCGGGCCTGGAGCCTGACCTCAGGCTGACCTCAGGCCTCCCCAGGCTGACAAAACTGACCTTAGGCCTCCCCAGGTGAGCGTTAACCCCTTTTTCACACTCAGTTGCATGCCATGCCAACACTCAATACCCCAGAAAGGCAGAGAGGTAGACACAGGGTCCGGCTGACGCCGAAGAAACTCACAGGCTACTGAGGTAAACACGAGACGCTCAGTACTCTTTGCTAACAATCGGTTCTTGGCTTCCTTAAGGTATCATATTCAACTTTCAAAATTACATTAATACTAATCACACCTGAAACACCAAAAAAAAAAAAAAAAAAAAAGGGACTGCATTTGGTTAATAGGTCTGCACCAGGAAGAACCCTTCCTTCCAGTCAAGGAAAAAAAAAAAAAAAAACTTCTAAGGAGTCAGTTTACTATGAATCAGAAAAATATTTAAGGGAGAGAGCGTTCGTTTTGATGCCTGGTTTCGGAAGCCTTGGTCCAAGGTCAGCTGACTCCATGCTTTCTGGCTTGGTGAAATAGAGCGTGGCGGGGGTTGGGAGGCATGTGGGAAGAAAACTGCTCACTTCCAGGAGGCTGGGAAGCAGAAAGATGGGGTAGGAACAAGACACACCTCAGTGAATACCTTCAGAGCCCTGCTTTCCTTAACCAGCTCTCCTCGTAACTTCCACTGACTTCCTGCACTGCCATTAAATTATGAATCCATCCATGGATTACCCCATCCGTGGATCAGACTGCCTGTGATAGAACCAGTAGTGACTTCAAATTTGAAACTCTGAGGTCTCTGCCTCTAGACTGACTCACTAATCTGGGTATGGTGGTGTAGGGGTCAAGGATCGATTGCAGGGGTGGTCGATAAATAGCTCTACGAGTACATAAATTTAAATCAGTCTAAATAAGTTTCCATGCACACACCTGGGGGTCCAGGAAAGCAGAGGCTGGTCTCCGTGGTACTACGGGTGCCCACTCCAGTACCCTCTCACAGTTTTCAAGTGTAGAATCCCAAACAGAAGAGGTTGCTACACAGAGCCTCTACCCAGCCTCCCGTGATTCTGGCCAATGCTGTAACCCACCAATGTTATAACCAAGTTGCCTGGCAACTTCTCAGGGATCTAGCTAAATGAGTCAGTCGGTACTTGGTCTTTGCCTTTTTTGTTTTTGTTTTTCGAGACAGGGTTTCTCTGTGTAGCCCTGGCTGTCCTGGACTCGCTTGGTAGACCAAGCTAGCCTCAAACTCACTGAGATCCTCCTGAGGGCTGAGATGAAAGGCATGTGCCACCACACCCGCCCAGCTTTGTCTATCACATTCTTAAGTCATCTTTTGTTAGTATTCATTTATTCCTTTTCTCTGGCTTCCCACTGGTTCCCAGTCCTCACAAAAGCGGGGACTTGCTCTTGCTGCTTATTGTTTCCAAAGTGCTTGTCATAGTAGTAAAAGTCCAAGTATGCCTTAGTCAATGGACAGGATAATGACTAGAGCGAAAGATATTAAGTGTATCAGAATATGTCCATCTGGAACAACTTTTGATATTTAATTCAAAGAAATACATGATGTGGAAAACCGAAAGCGCACAGATTGTAGGCGAGAGTGGGAGAGTTACTGCTCAAATAGAGGCCACAACTTCCCCTGCACACACCCAGTGAGACCATATTCAGGGCCTGAGGGTCTGAGGGAGATGCTCCCAGCTTGTCACTGTCGGGAACTGAGTTAGTCCCTGAAGTAGCTGAAGGTAGCACAGGCACCCACAACCATCCACAGTCGCCCACAACCATCCACAGTCGCACCTGAGCCCCAGTTCCTTTGCCAATGACGAAACCATCTTGCCAGATGTTGTACTGAGTGAGGCTTTGCTCAGAAGTTCTCTGGTACGGTAACTAACTCCTCGGCCACTCCCGAGCTGCTAAGACCCTTTCTCTTTTCCTGCCTGTGAAAAACAAAACAGAGGGAAGTGTCCCTTCAGAGAAGCAGCAATTCAAAAACTGTGTACAAGAGACATGAAACTATAACCGGCTCCCTAGGGTAAAAGTAACTAAAGTGTGTGATGTGAATGAATCATACTAGTAAGTGTTACAACTTAACAATTACGTGATAGAACTTAGAGAAGAAATCAAATAAGATAAAAAAAATCATAAATGGAAGTTGAACTAGAAGGAACTCAAGAGCTAAAAAAAAAAACACAGTAGCAAAAGGATTTTTAGTTATAAAGGTATAAAGAAACAAAACAGGTTTTCAAAAAGTAACTAATAGAAGGCTTGGAGAGATGGCTCAGCCATTAAAGGCTGGGCTGACAACCAAAAATGTGACTAGTGGAAAAAATAAACAGAAGACAAAATGACTAAGCAAGGCCAGAGACATAGCTCAGTGATTTAGAGATGCTCTTCCAGAGGACCAGGGTTTGATCCCCAGGTGGTCCATAACTGACTGTAATGCCAGAGGATCTATCGCCCTCTTCTGGCCTCCAAGGGCACTGTACACACAAGGCACAGATACACTTGCGGGGGGGGGGGGGGGACACACTCATCTACATAAAAATGAATATTCTAAGTGACTAACAGAAGAATATAATAAAAACAAATAAAAGTGAACTAAAAGAGAAGTTAGGCAAAGAAGAGCTAGCCTCTGAATAACGGAAGCTCCTGAAAATCCTGGACCCTCCTTATAAGCCACCCAAGGACACACACAAATGTGGGACTTTTCTCTAATATTAACTATTTCTAATAATTTTAAAGTATTAAAAATGTCCCAAATCATTCATTTCAAATTCTTCAATTGAATAGATTTTTGTATTTTATAACTTGTAAAATATAAAGGCTTATAACAGGGTAGCAGATAACCCTTCATTCTGCTGACCTCTGCTTAACTTCAGACTCAGTCCTTCCCAGAGAGAAGGCAACTAGCATCCTCCATCTATCTATCTATCTATCTATCTATCTATCTATCTATCTATCTATCTATCTATCTATCTATCTATCCATCCATCCACCTACGAACCTACCTACCTATTTTTTATGTGCATTGGTGTTTTGCCTGCAAATATTTCTGAATAAGGGTGTCGGACCCCCTAGAACTGGAGTTACAGTCAGTTGTGAGCTGTCATGTGGGTCCTGGATCCTCTGGAAGAGCAGTTGGTTCTGTTAACTGCTGAACCATCTCTCTAGCCCAGGCTAGGCTACAAGCTCTTAACAGAATAAAATTAGCCTCTGCAATAGGAAAATAAGAGATTTCACTTTGAAAGAAAGCTCCTTGGCTATCCAGCATCTCTTGCACATTTAGTAAAGTTGAGCAAGAAAAGGAATTTGAAGCACAAGGGTGATATTTCCCTATGTGGTTGTGGTATAGGGAGCCCATGTTTCAGGGTGAGAGCAAGCCATTGTTCCAAAGACCCAATCCCCGGCCTCGGCAAGAAATCCAAACAGTTCAGTCCATTGATAGGCAAGTTTAGGCTCCTCCACAAGCCAGGTTGTTGTACTCCTTGTGGCTAGGTGGCAGGGCTCTCTGTTGTCTGCTTCATGGGGGCCAGAACTCATGCTGAAAACCAAGGAAGAGAGGAAAACCACAGGGAAACCCCAGATAAAACAAGCACAGCATGTCATCCAGGCCGCACACGTAGATTTTTCACACCTTTCAACACTGCATAGGTTTTCTACAAAGGAAGGTTTTGCCTATGACCCAGATGAGCCACATGAGAACCACAGGTGAAGGGCACACCCAGCGGCATCTCATCTACAGGAACATGAGGAAGAGGCTGCGCCAATTCAGTCTGGACCCTCAAGAGTGTACAAGGCCATAGGTAAAGGTTTCAGAATGAAGCAAATGCAGGGGAAAATCCCAGAGCTGCATAAAAAGCAGGGTAGCTTGAACAAGGCCTCAGCCTCAGTGTGTTCCCTCAGCTGTAAACAGGACAGCAGTGTACTGAAACTGAGCCCTGAGCCCTGAGCCCGGTCATCCACCATTCACATAATGGATCAGCTTGAGTTCTTGTGAGCTCAAGTGCCACGTGTTGTTTATAGCTGGCAGATTTCATCACCACTGTGAGATGCCCCAGAGATCTTTTCCTCTGGCACAGTGACCAGCAGCAAGACTTTAGAACCAGTAGTCCCCCTGCCCAGAAGGTGATAGAACAAACCAGCTTCTCACCAGCTCATGACGAACATGAACAAGAAATACAGCACTGGTGTTTTAGGTAGGTACTCTGAAATCGGAGGATGCTCTAAAATGATACAGCGCCCTCTAAAACAATGCTAACAAATTCACGACAGTCTGTTTGGATCCAGGCTGATTCTAAAGCTTTTCTCAGAGCCCCTAGATGAAAGGACAGACAGAACAAGACCAGCATCCTTGCCCAGAGACACATTCGGCAAACTGTAGTCTGGGACTGGGGGCAGGGCCTTGAAAGAAATAAGATTTTGCCTGGGAACCTGGCTATCTCCCCTGAAGAGACTAGAGTTATGCTCCATCTGTGGTGAAATGTGGCTTGGCTAGCTACCCGCTGACTTCATCTCCCTGTGACAGCTTTCTGCAGACTCTGCCCTGCCCCTCCCCCACCTTGCAAACGGTATACTAAACTTGCTTTGCATAACACATAGCTTATGCAAGAACTCTGGATCCCAAACTTTCCTATCTCTTTCACTGCCTTGATTCCCTAGTCCTCCCTCTCAGGAACCCGTCACGGAAGAACAACCTGCTGGTCCAGGTCAAAGCTTCCGGAGTTCCCGGAAGAACTCGTTTCATGCATCACCTTGTTCATTTAATCCAGCAGCCCTCACTAAGCAAGGAGCAGGGCCAGGCGTCGTGCTAGATGCTTCTGTCTGGCTCTCGGGCTTCATCTTTAGCTACCCTGTCCTCATGGGTCTCCAACCAGGGCCCCTGGAAGAACCGGACACTAGCGTGTGTTCAGCTTGCATCCTGTTCTTGGGCGCTGAACTAGGACAGGGGTCTACGGAGCTGAAACTGGGGGCTGGAGAGATGCCTGATAGTTAAGAGCCCGGACTGCTCTTCCAGAGAACCTGGGTTCAATTCCCAGAGTCCACATGGCGGCTCACAACTGTTTTGTAACTCCAGTTCCAGGGGCTCTGATACCCTCTTCTGACCTCTGAAGGCACCAGGCACACATGGTGTACAGACACACATGCACCCAAGACGTACAGAAGATTCAAAACTTTTTTTTGTTTTTGTTGTTGTGTTTTGTTTTGTTGTTTTTTTACCCCAGGCAGGGTTTCTCTATGTAGCCTTGACTGTCCGGACTCCCTTTGTAGACCAGGCTGGCCTCAAACTCACAGAGAGCCGCCTGCCTCTGCCTCCCAAGTGCCAGGACTAAAGGTGTGCGCTACCACTCCCAGCTTTAAAGAACCTGAGACTTACAAGCTTGGGGGCCCCTCCCAGTCCCCAAACACGACGTTTTTTGTTGTTACAACTCCACCTGTGGGGGACTCTATCAAATCCCTTTTATGACACTGCTTAAGCCAGATTCTACTGTCAGACCCCCTGCTTTCAACTGGGCACGTGTGACACTCACCAGTAACCACCGTACCTGGAAGGCTGAGGCACGAAGATCACAGATTTAAGGCTAGCCTGGGCTACACAGCAAGGTGCTTTCTCAAAAATATACGGCAAAACGAAAATCCACTCATCTCACTAGATTGTGTCTAAATGTTGACTTCTATGACGATTTCCCCGGGTGTGAGGTGTGAGAAGGGACTGGGTGTCCAGGTCTTCCCATGTTGCCCAGGCTAGCCCACAACTCCTTGAATAAGTGCTCCTCACCTAAGCCCTCCCCTTGCCTGCCCCACCCTCACCTTTCACTCCCAGTTTTAGCCACAGTGACAATCATTGCCTAGGAAAGAAGAGCTGAAAAGTCTCACACCGAACGTCACTTTTTTTTATTTTCAGGGATGGACTTTTAGGGACTCACATACGCTAAGCAAGTGTTTCTTCATGTGACCGACACCCCCAGGCCAACACTTAAGTCTTGCTAAGCAGGTGACGAGGCTTCATGGTGACGACAATCAGTCCCCTGCTGACGTGGGCCATCCTGCTTTTCAGGGTGGTGGATGCTGTGTCCAGAAGAGCCACGCACCCGCAGAAGTGAAGTGAGAGGCTGAAAAAACAAAAGGCGAGGTTCGAGATAAAGATCGCCGGAACTAAGCGGCAGAAAGGCTCTTCAGCTTCAGTACCAGAGGCCGCCACCCCCAAACCCACAGATCCTGACTTACACCCCTAGTTCTGTGCTCAGTGAAGAGATGGCGGCTGGAAGGATATGGCAATGCCTAAGCGCTTCCTCTACTTTCCTGGAAACCCAGCTGACCTTCTCTGACCTGGAACCCCAAAGATCTCTTCACTCCTCTTCCACCCACTTCCTTGTGGCCCCACTGTATGAGATCTGTGGCCATCGCCAGGGAGACGGCCCAGGGGTGAAACACCCGCTGCACAGCTGTGAGGACTGGAGTTCAGCTCTCCGGAGCCTACGGAAAAGCCACGTGGATGTGGTAGCCCAGTCTGTAATCCCGGAGCTCAGCAGGAAGGGACGGGATCCCCAGGGCAAGCTGGCGAGGTGAACGAGCCCAATCAGTGAGCTCCCACACCTGGCCTCAGTAAATAGAGAAAAATGACACAAGACACCTGATTTCGGCCCCTGGCCTCTGAATGTATACGCATGTGTATACACTCCCCCCCGACACACACACATACATGTGAACATACACACACACACAGACACAAAGAAGAATATCTGGGAACTTGTTGGAGGGAAGCTCCTTAGGCTGGGGATGGTCTAAACAGAGAATGAAACACTCCATCCCGCAGGGAAGCCCCATGAAGATACAAGTCAACAACTCAAAAGTGTCAGGAAATTCCTGAAACTGACCAGACTCACTAGCCCCTCCCTTCCAAGTTTATATAAGGACTTGGGACTGTGTAGAAAAGCCCTCAGACCAGCTAAGCTGCCTTGGAGAGACACTTTCGAGCTTGCTGTCTACCATGTTGTACGTGAGCTTCAGGTGTCCGGCCGTTTTCAGCTAATACCTACTCTGGGGAGGGATTTTTGATAATGGTTTTGGTGATGCAGCTGTGTCTGCATCTTTTCTGTTCCTGGAAGAAACCCCTCACCCACACTTCTATAAGCAAACCCAACAAACACGGCAGTTCACCAAGCTACACTTTGGCGGTGTCGTAACTTGGATCTGTCGTTGGTGCCCTGTCTAGAGTGAGTGGGCATTTACTCATGTCTCTCTAGGAATAGAGACATATAACGTAACCAGCCTGGAAAGCTGTGGTACTTAGAACAAGAGGTTAAACGCAAGGGCATGAGGAAGGATACAAAGCTTGAGGCAGATCATGGCTAACCAGGGAGTCTGGCTTTTCAAAAGTGGGTATGTGTGAGATAGACTGGGATTGCGCTTGCCCTGTGATAAGGTGAGGAGGGTGAGGCGGGGGGGGGGGGGGTGGACACTGCTGTTAGGCTGCAGCCTGGCTGGCTGTTGTAGTTATCTGTATAGCTGCTGTAACAGATGTACCTAAGGGAGGCATGGTTTATGTTGACTTTCAGTTCCGGGGCATACAGTCCATCATGGCAGGGAAGGCACAGTGGCAGAAAGAAGAGGTGGCTGGCTATATTGCAGCCTCAGTCAGGACGCCAGGAAAGACAAGCGCTCAGTTTCTCACAAAGTTGCCCAGGCTGTCTTTGAACTTGTATCCCTCCTACTCCACCACCTGGGATCACAGCCTGCTCCAGCAAGCCTGGTGATGAGGTGGTTAATTTTTGTTTTGCTTTGCTGACACTGGAGAGGGAACCCCAGGCCTATGGTATGGATTTTTGTTCTGTCTGATTTTGTTGTTGCTGGTCGTGCCTCTCCCCACCCCACCGCGAGACGGGGTTTCTCTGTGCAGCCCTGGCTGTCCTGAAACTCATCCTGTGGAGCAGGCTTCGAACTCACAGAGATCTGCCTGCCTCTGTCTCCTGAGTGCTGGGATTAAAAGTGTGTGCCACCATGCCTGGCTTCTGTGGATGGATTTCTTAATCTCGTTGAAGATTCCTGTGCTGGGTCCTGTGCCAGAGCACGGGCGTAGTGGTAGATAAGATATATACGGTCTCAACTCTCAGGAGAGCTAGCCTAGCAGATGGAGGAGCAGGACAAACTCACATTGCATTAATTAATTAACCACAACCGTGAATGACTGTGAGAGGGCACAATAAGGAGAGGCCAGTGTGAGTGGCGATGTCATTTGCCACAGCAGGAAGCACGCTGGGCACCTAGCATACTGGAGAACCTCTTTAGCTTAGGATGCAGCGAAGTTGAGGCACCTCACTGGGGACCTGCAAGAGATGGGAGCTTGGAAAGAAGGGCTAGAGACTGCACCCCAGGAGAGGAAGGCACGTGGCAGGAAGTGTTCTAAACACCCGGCCGCCTTCTCAGATGAAGAGCCAGGATCTCCCTGGAGGGCTTCCCAGGGCAGGGTCTTGTTCAGTTGTCTGCACTGGACCAGGGCACGATCAAGAGGCCGTGGCAGATGGCAGGCGCTATGTGCTCAGGGCAGCTGATGGCCGCGAGGTCCCCGTGACAAGTGCTCACTGGGTAAAAGCTAGCACCCGCTGGAGCAACAACCTGACTGACCTTCCAGGAAACAGCAGCTCAGCGTTCTGAAACGCTAATAAAAGGCAGGGAGAAGCTGGCACACAGCACGGAGTCTATTTCCTAAGTATTTTCTGTTTTGTTCCAAATTAATGGGTTAGAATTTCAACCCAGGGCATTACCTTCTCCTCCTGCCAACTTTTAACGGGTAGTCTGTAGGGAACATTCCAGGGGGTCCAGCACTTGGGCAGAGATAGGAGGTACAATGGCACCGCCTCTCTGTGCCAAGCTTGGCCTGTGACATCACCATCAGCCAGCATTTCCTCCTCTCTCAGACGTCCTCTGCTTTTTAGCCTGAGGCTTGACTCCTGGCTACTTCTGGCTCCTCACCTTGGGTAGCCTCAGCGCAGCACGGGTGAGCCCTGTACCTTGCCATGGCCCAGCACTGCGTGTGACCCATGCTAGCACTGCCTGGCGTGCGGTATTCCCATCAGAGGTCTCCACGGCCATGTCCCGTTAACCTGGAAGGGCTTTGGTCTGTCCAGGGTGTGTGTGTGTGCGATATGAAATCAGAAAGTAGAAACCAGTGCTCTTAACTGCTAAACTAGCTTTCTAGCACCATAAAAGTAAATCTTAAAAAAATAAAAAGATTCAGGCAGTGATGGGACATATTTTCAAAAGACAACAAGTTCCTTTATCCTCAGATCCACCTTGCTGGCCCGAGAGGGCTTATTTTATAAGTTAAAAGGGCTTCTACACAGTAGTTCTTCTATTATGAAATCAGCTTTGACTTTCTACTGCAAGCTGCCCCCTCCCGTTTTAAAAAAGAGTTGCACTTGGGAGGCAGAGGCAGGCGGTTCTTGAGTTTGAAGTCAGCCTGGTCGGCAGGGTGAGTTCCAGGACATCGGGGGCTACACAGGAAAACCCTGTCTCCAAAAACAAAAGCAAACAAACGACAACAACAGACAAATGAAAACAAGTGTTTCCACCCAGTTCTGGTTTGGTTGGTCAACCGTGAGGTTGACCCTGGGTCGCTTACAGAAACGTGGCAGCATGCAGGCAGCAATGCTGTTTGGATATTAGAGTGGGCGGCGCCTTGCAAGGCCCAGCTCCTCTCCACAAGGGACTGTCGGCCAGTCCTAAAGGCCTTGGGAGGCAGATATCGGGACTGTTCTGACAGTAACTGTTGTGTCGTGCTCGGAGGTCCACAACTACCTGCCCAAGCTGCAGGCAAACCTTTCTACTGTTAAAAAGGACAGTATTTTGCTGATCTGGTTAGCATCTCAGGTCCTCCATTCTACCTCAAAGAAAGGGAAAGAGGAAGAAAACGAGACGGCAACAGCCCAGGCACTGGGAAGAGTTTCAGAGCATGAGCCAGATGTCCAAGATAAAGGAACTTGTCTTTATCAGTTAGATCCCCAGAGCCCATAGGGTAGAAAAAGGAGAAGCAACTCCCTTGGGAGGTCCTCTGGCTTCCTATACATGTGCAATCTCTCTCTCTCTCTCTCTCTCTCTCTCTCTCTCTCTCACACACACACACACAAAGAAATACATTATACATAATGTATTCGTGTTCAAAAAGTAAAGAAAGAAGAGCTCATGGTATGAGCAAGAGAAAGGGGCACAGCTCGTGAACCCACATGTCCAGTCAGGAGGATTTTCGCTACACAGACCTCTCCAGAAACCGTTTGTTCACCTGTCGTTAAAGCCCTCGTCACACTGTAGATGACCGGTTGCTGCCTGCTCTCCTCTGTGCACGCCTACTGGCTGCCCGTGAGAAGGTGCCTCTGCCTGGAGGTGATCTTTCATATGATCCTACAAGCCAGCGCAGACCGAGGAATTCCCGAGGAATTTCTGGGCATTACCGGGGTCTTGACACTGGAGAAGCAGCACTGACGCCCAGGAGGTAAGGCCAGGATGGACACAGATCCTCTGTGACCTGCTGCAGTCATGTGTTCGAGGGCAGCTTCCTCTCACCAGTAACTAGAGACTCCACAGGAGTCCAGCGCTCCCCGGAGAGGAGAGGCCAGTGTTCTCACAAGAACCCATTCCAGGCTGAGCCGTTCCCATCCACGGGTTTATTCAGGGAAGGCTACTGTTGAGACTCAAAGTCATTTTTCTTCAGTGAAAGCCAGGAGCCCAGAGCTGACAGAGGAAGGCATCGGCGGCTCATAAATCCATAGTGCCCAGGCCTCTGAGCAGGCTCTCTTATTGGCAACGCGATGGATGCTCTGCCAGAGAGGCAGCAAACAAGCCATTCATCATGATCTCATTTGGAGACTTGACACCTAAATGGAGCTACCCCCGCTCACAGCTCTGTGCACAGCCCAGAGGTGCCAGATCTGTGCAGACCAGGAAATCTCTTCCCGGACCCTGCAGCAACTCTCTGGAGGGTGCATGCAACTCCTTTGTAGCAAAATGCAAGAAAGGGCCTAAGTCTCCTCCGCTCAGGGGTCAGTCAACAGAACCCTCATGAGCTTGATGTCCGGTAATCTAGGCCAGGGAGACAGGTGATGGCTGCCTGTGTTCTCTCTGTCCCTCTGCAGCTGGACTCAGAGATCCTGGTTCTCAGAGATACTTGCCACTGTGGCATCGCCGTGTCCGGCTGAACAGCCTAGACTGTCCCCTTCCACAGGCCACAAGAAGGGGACAACTCTTTCAGATGTGAGTGGTGAGCTGCTTGTACTCACCTTCAGATCCCAATTCGAAGGAGACCCTCTTGTGAAGCCCAAGTCACTCCCTCCTGTGCCTTGCATGGCTCAGGTTTCAGCCTGCCTGAGGAACTGCTTTCTCACAGCACGTAGCATGACCTGTTAGGTGGATCACCAAGGCTCCTTGAGGCAATGACCAGCTCTAGCTTTCGAGGTCCCATAGAACCGCCTTGGCAAATGTGTGAGCGGCAGAGAAGGCCTCAGCTCAGGGTAGAAACCACCATCTATGCCCTCAGCTCACCCTCCCAACATGCACTGCTCACCTGTGCTGCTCGGGACAGCCAGGCCCTGGGCCTGGCACTACAGAGGCCGAGGCAGGAAAAACTCTGCCCTATCCATGAGAACTTTGGCCTAAGGAAGGAGCCTGCCCTGCCAAGGTCTTCTACAGCCACATCAGAAGGGTTGTACTGACCCCTGTCCATTCTGGCTTTGATGAAGTATGCAATCATACGATGATACCTACATGACAAGGGACCGACGGTGGCGCCCAGCCAACAGCTTTCAAGGTTCCCTCATGATTACCTGAGTGGGTGATGATTAAGCCATGATGAAGGCTCATGCTTAAGGTAGGAGGCCCCACACAAACTCATTGAAGAAGTGAAAAAGAAAAAAAAGAACTAGAACTTCTGTTTACATTTCCTTAAAAACGTAAGTTTCAACAGTTGCCATAGAGACTGACAATAGCATATGCAAATACAGAAGTCACACATCACTGGTTTGTACTGGGTGAAGAATGGAAAATGGCCTCAATGCTGCTGTCTCGTAGCCTTGTATAATTCTCTTCCCCCTTCAGTGTGGGCTAGGCCTGTTAACTTGCTTCTAACCAATAGAATGAAGCAAGGAAAAGACTCACTTTCAGGTCTGTGCTATGCGGGACAGTCACTTCCATTTTGCTAACAGACTCTTGCTGACGTCACCCTTGTTCATTTCTGGCTTTGATGAATTATGCAATCATACAATGATACCTACATGACATGGAACCAACAGTGGCCTCCAGCCAACAGCCTGCAAGGCTCCCTCATTCTCATCAGCCCCAGGAACTAAACCCCGCCAAATGATCCTAGGAGTGGAGAAGTTCTTCCCCAAGTCTGGCCTCTGGATGAGCCCCAGCTCCAGTGGCTCATGGCCACAGCCTCGGAAGTGAGGAAAAAGCTAGGCTGTGCCCAGACTCCACAGCAACAGGGGAGACAGCAACAGGTAACTGACACGGGATTCAGACTTGACCGTGAGCAATACATAGAGTCAAGAAGCAAGCACTCTGACTACAGCTCTCTCAACCAGATAGAAGGGCTTCACAAAAACTCTGAATGGCAGCAGGGTGGCCCACACAGGTTTCAGAAGTAGAAAGAACGTCATCTCTAAAAACTGGGGAGGATGGGCAAACTTGGAACCTGGCTCTCCGAGACCTGGGTTCAAGTCCTAGTTCTGCCTCTCAGCTGCAGGTGACCACAATCCACTACACATCTTCCCCCTCTTCATCCGTGCAATCAGGTGGGCAAAGCCCCGGCAGAGATGCTGATGAGACAGTGACCTGGGAAGTTTAAACAGATGTGTGCTAGTTTCCTACCAAACTCGGATGACTGTGAGCAGGGAACTGTGCTCTCTTGCCCTTAGCTTCATTCATACAGGCGAGGAGGAAAGCCCACGCTCCCCTGGCCTTTGATTCTAAACTACATACCCTTGAGAAGAAAGGAAAGCCCAGGAGCTGTCCCCAGCCTCACAGGAGACACCTTTACTATCACATCCTATTAGCTCAAAGGGCTTATGACTGGAATTCCTCCTCGGCGAAGAAAGAAAATCCCTCACACATTTTTAAAAAACAAAAATAAAATATCAAAACAAAGTCAAGGGGGGCTACCAAATTTCAATATAAATCGTCAGTAGCACAGTGGCTCTCACTGTATTCCTGAGGGCCACTTGCCCTGTCTCTGAGCGTCACACAATCTTCTCACACAGGCTGTGTGTCCCTCCTTTTATAGATAGGTTATCTATGGCTCAGAGGCACCTTGTAGGTACAAGGCCGAAATAAGCTTCCGTTCTAATTCTCTCTGGCCACTAGCCTGATGGTCGTTGCCCATACCCTTTGCCCTGGGAGACAGGACAGCTAGGCTTTTGAGAGCAGAGTGAAGGATCTGGGCCCACAGTGGCTGGCTAACTGACTGAACGCGGAACTGGCAGATGGACACACAGACAACGCAAGGAGTAGAGTATGTACGGTACGAGGGGTGACAGGCTCACCAGGGAAGCGATGACTGTGGGAAAGGAAGAACATTCTAGACAACAGAACTGTAGGTGTGGGTGCATTCCAGCAACAGCAACGGGCAAATGTTCAGCGCGGGAGCAGAGATACGCCAGGACCTGGAAGGGACACAAACTCGGGAGGCCCCATGCTCCAGTCGGCCCTAAGAGGCCTCTGGCGAATGCAGCCCAGCTTTGCTTCGGTCTGTGAGTGTCGGGGAAGAGCTGGCCTTGGTCTGAGGACAGTGGCCCCAGGTGGCAAGGGAATCTAGGTGACTGTGGTCACGACAGATAGTACCAGATCATGGTCGGTACCACCCAAAGAAGCTTCCCCTATCCTGCAAGAAGAATGATGTACACTACAGTGTGGAAGGTGCCAATGGAGGACTGTGTGCGGCCAGGGGAGACTGAGTCAGTAATAGTTTTTTGTCCTGGTTTACAGCCTCTTCTTTCAAATGTTCCTCTTGACTGAAGGCTTAATTCCCTTCGGAACTTAAGTATGCAAATGATGTTGAGAGCACGTTTATCTAGTTCTCCAGCAGAGGAGTAACTTCAGAGGCTCTGAACAAATGAAGCCTTTGGAGAAATCCACGGTCATTCAAGAGGGCGTAACATGGGCTTCAGGGGCCAGCCTGAGAGGTCACAGAGATGCAGAAAAAGTCAGTGGGACGGTTAAGCAATGGAAGGAACTCTTCCACACCACTGGAAGGAGTAGACACGGTGGGTGTGATGACAAAAGCAGTGACATCATTACCCCGGGATCTCAGGGCTCCTGCCTCTCACCTCTGTGAGGGAGTTGATTTCAGAATGAACTTTCAGCAACAGAAACATAACCACATAAAGGTGTGCAGAAAGCCTCGGGGTCTAGCCTTCTGTCCCTACACAACTGACAGCCCTGCCCATTTGTGACGTACCACACAGGAAGCCGCCTGTTAGCTGGATTTGGCCGCTGCTACCGTCTGGTTGGGAGTGGCTGCAGGTGTGGTTGCCGGAACATGGTCCATCTCTGGAGCATCAAAAAAGTAAGCCTGCAGGGAAAGAGACACGTGGGAGAGCCAGGTGAGGGCTCTTCTAGGAGCCGATGTTCATAGTCCTTGGGGCCTCTGCCCTCCGCCATCATGTCTGTCCTCACTCTGAACTGCAGATACCTCTCTGAAAGTCTGCCTCACTCACCTGACCTTTTAAAACTTAGTTCCCACTAAATCTTCCCAGAGACCTTGAAGGGCTGTTACGATGCTCTCCCCTAACAGAAGCAGAAATCGAGATTCACAGAGACCGTCCCTGGATCAGCGAGCATGGCTCGTGAGCAGCGGAGCCAGGACTGGCAGCGGAGCTCCTCTGACTCCAAAGCTCATGTTCGCAATGACCTCGCACGGGCACGGGTCTCTGTCTCCACCTCTGTTCTACCAGCACTTCCTCCGGCTGGGCACGGTAGTAAGTAGTCAGATGTTTAGGGGCCGGTTGGCTCACTCTGAGTGGGGACCTTGACGAGAAGGCACCGGGCACGCTCCACTCCTAGGACTTGAGCTTGAAAAAGAAGCCTGGGACAACTGCTTCCACTCACCGCCCCAGTTCAGCTGACAGGAACCTGGGGGTGGTGGGTCAGGGGAGGCCGCAGGATGCTAATGTTAGCCCGGAAGAACACCTGTCTTGTTAGCCTTCAAAGGGAAGGTGAAGCCGTTACTGTACCAGGGGTGGGGGTGGGGCTCAAGAAAGTGCAAAAGTAGAAAGCAAAGAACCATTTTCAGCAGTTCTGCCCTTATTTGCCAGAAGAGGGCGCCAACACGACACACTGTGCCAACCTTGGCACTCTTTACCGGTAACATCTCTGTAGTCTCTCTTTGCCTTTTCTCATAAGCTCCCTCTAGCTTATCACACCCCCAGGGCAAGCCTCCTTTTAAAGGCTTTTCCTGCAGCTGCAGGCAGAGGCCAGAGCACCCACATCCACCTGGGCTCCGCAGGCCCAGGAACACTGAGAGGGGCAGTGGGTAAAGGGTCTCGACAGGCCCCTGGAGGAAGCACGCTTCAGCACCCTGTGAGCCTCAGGGCTGAGTGCGCCAGGTTCCTCATCCACACCAGCTACCCACACTGTGCCTCTTAGCAAGCTTCTCTACCTCCTCAGTTCTGTCTGTAAAATGTAAAGATGGGGTCGGCGGGGAGAGGAATGGTCTCTAAAAGGCTTTCTCTTCTAGTCTCTACCCAGCCTGCAATCTGGTACAGGGTCCGTGCCCACGCCAGCCCATCCTGAGGTACTGCAGCCACAGCCACCCATCTCTCTGAGGTCAGCAGTAGCCAGCACATTAGGCTGGACAACCCACCAAGGACACCTTCTGGGTGCTGCCTTCGCCCAGCAGGGGCGGCCTGGAGATCATTTTCAAGCAGGGACCTTGGCAGATGGGGGGCTGCCACACACATCGCCGCACTGAGAGGAAAACATCAATGTGCATTTCCCCGGGGAGCTGCAGAAAGCCAGGCGAGGCTGTCTGGTTCAGAAAACACCAATCCGCATTTCCCGGGGAGACGGAGAAAGCCAGCCTCTCGGCTCAAAGGACTCCCTAGCTGACTCCTCCTCATGCTTTCCAATAATAATAATAATAATAATTAATAATAATAATAATAATGTCTTCTGATCACATGAATAGACATTTTTCTTCCTCTCTTTTTCTGTATGTGTGTCTATGTGCATGTTCACCTGCGTGGGTGTCTTTTCCCTTTGGGTCTCACTATGCATCTCTGGCTGACCTTGAACTCACAAGGATCCACCTCCCTCTGCCTTCTGAGTGCTGGGACTATAGGCGTGTGCCACTGCCACCATGCCCGGAGAGACACCGAATCTAACCCTAACCCTAACCCTAACCCTAACCCAACCCTAACCCTATGTCTAACGTCTTGAGGCTTTTGCAGAGCAAGCCTTGACATTTGTGCACGATACAGCACCAGAGAGATGGTTCCTAAGGTGAGGGTGTTTGCAGGGAAGCCTGGTGACAGGAGCTGGATCCCCAGAACCCACCTGACTTCCAAAAGTTGTCCCCCGACTTCCCCAAGTGTGCCACGACATGAACGTGCCTGCCCTTGGTACATCTGCTAAAAAGAAGTAAGTAAGTAAATTCTGTACCAAGCAGGTGCAGTCAGGACGTACCAAGCAGCCCACAGACAGCAGCACATGAAGAAACACGATGGTCATGATGGTGGCAAAGGCGACACGCCGGTTATCCTCGCGAACGGCTGGCCAAAACGTCATCGCCAGCACAGACCCCGAGACGCACAGGGCAATCGTGACTAGGACCCAACGAACAATCCTCTGGGGAATGATCCACAGCACCTGGAAAAGGAGAGAGGATGGGGACAGTTCTTCACAAACGTTCACAAGGCTCCCACCACCCCCAGCCCCTCAGCAGCTGGCCACGCTGCCACGTAGCTCGTGGCTCAGCACAGCACTCTACCAGCGCGCATACGGCTGCTGTCCTAACCCCAGGGCTCCCGGCACAGCCAAAGCCCTTGCCCTCCCAGCATTGGTGCGTCCTGCCATTGAAACTCGAAATTGGAACCTCCAGGGCCGTGGGAGCATTCGGCTGGAAAGGACAGGGTCCTGTGGAACAAACAGTCTGTGGAGTTTTCCACCCCAGTCACCGTCACTCAGTCTATCCGTGGGCGCGGTACTTACTGCCGTGGGGATATAGATGAAGAGCGAGTAGCCGTAGACACACACGATCTCCAGAAATGAATAGGACACGATGCTCATCACCTTGCTGTTTCTCCACGCGAGGAAGCCCCAGAGAGCCAGAGGGACGAGCCAGGCGTAGGCGTAGATGATGGTGGCTGCGATGGACACTGCAGGTGACGGGATAGCCTCCATCAGGCCCTTAGCAAGCACACCGTCTGCGCGCGTCACACGCTTTCACTGCTCAGCAGTTCCTGGGCCCGGCACACAGTAGGTGCTTTACAAACGTTTGCTGATCTAAGGAACCCTTAGCACGTGTGTTGGGGGTGGTGACAAGTGTCGTCTATATGGTTTTTATAACTGACCTAGCAACTAAAATCTCGTAATAGAAACAACTGAATCATGTAACTGAAATACTTCAGAGAGCCATACTAAAAGTGTCTAAATGCTGAGTTTTGGGATCAAATAAAATCCAACTACCCCCTTGGAAGAACACGTTTTCCTCCCTAGCAAAACAAGAGCTGACACTGATTTCTTTGGCAAATGTATTAAAATGCCCTGGGTGCAGATTAACCTGCTCTGTGAGCCATCTACTTGATGTGTCTCTAAAATATGGAGCTCCAGCGCAGCGGCGCCTCAAATCATCCCCATGCTGGTTTCTCCCCGCATAAATAACTGTGTCGGTGGTGGAAGCACTCATTAGCGGCTCCTGGGAACCAGGACTGGATGCTCTCCTGGGCTCAGTCCCCTCCTGAAGAGCAGCATTCCCAGGACCGTCTTCCTGTTTCTGGAGTGACTATCCTGGAGCATGCTAGGCCAAGGCACCTGCCCTCCCATCGTGAAAATTCACAGACAATTCAATTAGCACCTCCTGCAAAAACAGGCCCCTCCTACCAATTACAGCCCAACTCTGATTGAAGCATGTCATTGTTCAGAACCCTGGAGGCTCCGTAGCAGGCTCCCCCCCTTGGAATGGCCTTATTGAGCCACATGTATTTTTTCTGACATAACCTCTTTTCCTCGGTGATAAGGGAAGGGGAAGGATAGTCTACCCAGGTTGTAGCTACTGCTTAGTTTTACGGCCTGATCCCAGCCACCTCCCTCCTCTCCTCCTAGTCCCACCCTCACGGCCCCTCCCCCCACTCCCCTCTCTCCTTTTCAGAAAAGGGGAGGTGTCTAAGGGGTTCTAACCCACTTGGAAGTTAGTGGGGAACAGCCTAATGTAAGTAACCAGTGATGCCACCCGGGACCATGGTGGGGCCCTGGCCTGGGCTGCCACTGGGGGCCATGTCTGGGTCTGTGACCCTGCAGGAGCAGGGGTCTGTTACTACCAAAGGCCATGCCCCTAGTTTGGCTGCTTCCAAGGGACATGTTGAATGTCTGAGTGCTGTGCAGAACAGGCTCTTCCCTCACCTGGGCATCAAGAAAGAGCTGTGATCCCGGTGTTCCCATGGTGAGACGGGAGGGGGAGACAGGAGAACCCCTGGAACCTTACAGGCCATCTAGCCTGGTGCACACAGCAGTCAACAAGAAACTTTGCCTCAAACAAGGTGGTAAGGGCAAACATCAAGAATGTTCTCTGACCTCCATTTGCGAAATGTGGCACACATGCTCATGTGTATACACACACACACACACACACACACACACACACAAACACGTGTGCGTAAAAGAGGAGGAGGAGGAGGAAGAAAAACGGAAGGGCACTTTAAAGCAAGAATAATGTCATTTACGAGCCCACGCTGGGGTCACATTCTGTGTGGTTCTCTCCAAGTCTTGACCACTGCGGATCTGTCACTAGCAAAACTGCCGACATAGCAGGCCCCCGATTGGCACAGTCACTGGTTTCCCACGATGCTCTAGGCGCTTTATAATTAGTGGTTACAGGCCTCTCAGCTAGCTGAGCCATCAGAACTTAAAGGACAATGCCTCTGTTGTTTCTAGGCCCTGCACAATGCAAACAGTGCTGCAGTCAGGACTTCATGCACACGGCTTCGGTCCTTGTGTGTGCTTTTACAATAAACTCCAATCGCTGCTCAGCCTGACAGCTTCCCTGAGAATAACAGAGATTTACAACACGGTGAATGTCTGGGTGCCACTAGACACACTACACTTAGGATGGACAGCTGTATGCAACAGAATTTTGCCACAGTGGAGAGGTGGACTATGGGTTTATATGGAAGGGGGATGGAGAGCTCTGAGCCAGGAGCTGAATTTGAGAGCAAGGCTGCAGTGCCTAGAGACTGGACAGTGTGCTCAAGGGTAAAAGCTCACGGTCAAAGATGGTCCACATTCAAAACATGCAGCCAAGCTGTTCACTCACCTTTGTGGAATTCTGGCACATAACGGTATGTCTTCTCTCCCAGGTGGATGAAGAAGTTGGAAAGGTTCCCACTAACTGCAATGGCAAAGACCAGCGTGGCGCATATCCAAAAGGGGCCTGCAAAGCGACCGGAAGATGCAGAAAGGGTAAATGAGGCACTGGCTGGTGGACTCTTCCGGAATCATTTCTCATCTCGTCCGAGTCATAAAAGCACGAGAAAAGAAATTCTAGATGAGGTCGAAACTTACTCAATGAGAATGTTCACTTCCAAAAGGTCAAGACCTGACTTGTAAAAGCTGGGGTAATCAGAATTCGTAGGCCAAAATAGTACACACCCAGGTGAATGAAGATACTGACGAATGGCTTCCCGTAGTAAGGGATCATCAGCAATGTACAAGCGTTTTTGTTCAGCCTTCGGAGCACAAGAAGCGAAGGTTGCTCCCTCTACCCAAGCACCCAGGTTAAGATCAGTACACACGCGCACGCGGCTGAATCAGCATTACAAATGGTGAGTAGTGCGAGAAGAAAACGTCAGGCAATTAGACTTGGAGGAGAGCCTCAGTGGTTAGGAGCACCGAACGTTCTTCCAGAAGACCCAGGTTCGATTCCCAGCAGCCACACAGTTGCTCACCACTGCTCCTAACCTCTGCGGGTCTGGGTACACATGTGGCGTACACACATACACGCAGGCAAAACACTCATACACACCTAAGAAAGAATAAACAGGTCTTAAGAAAAAAAAATGTTTGTAACCTCCTTCATCACCATCATTGTGTGCATATGTGTGTGTATGTGTGCATGTCTGAGTCACGCAGAGATGGAGAGGCACAGTTAAAGGCTGTCGTTTCTTCCCCTTCTTGACAAGCTTCTATTTTTAAAGTTCTGTACATGTCCATAACGTACAGCGACCACACTCTCACTCCCCACTCTCCCATGTCCTTATGACCCTGTCTACCCTTCTTCCCTACAGCTCTCTCTCTCTCTCTCACATTTGTGCCTTTTTGTTTTGTTTTGCACCAAGTTTAGAGCTTAGCTGGGGCCATCGTGCGATCATGTGCTGGGCGCTGTCCTCCTTTCTTTTTCCAATGAAACAGTAATCCCTCAGCTAGACACAGTCACACACGCCTGTAATCCCAGCAGTCAGGAGGCCGAGGCAGGAGGACTGCTGCACACTTCAGACCAGCCTGGCCTACACAGTGAGTTCCAGGCCAGAGAGCCAGCCTACAGGAGCCTACTGCACAAAAAATAAAATAACCATTCTGGGTTCAGGAGAGAATGCAGGAAAAAAAAAAAAAAAAAAAAAAAGGAAGCAAGCTTCTCTCCCTCTTTCTGCTTGCTGAGAGTTCCCTCTGGTTCCCAGTGAATCCTGCTAGAAATAGTCCACATATAGCCAGGTGAGGTAGCACACGCCTTTGATCCCAGCACTCTGTGAGTTCGAGGCTAACCTAGAGTTCCAGGACAGCCAAAGCTACATAGAGAAACCTTTTCTCAAAAAAAAAAAAAAAAAAAAAAACAACAAACAAACAAAAACAAAAAACAAAAAAACTCTTTAAAGTACTATCTTGGAAGATGGCTCAGTCAGTAAAAACCCTGCTATGCAAGACTGACCATCTGTGTTTAGCTCCCCAGAACCCACGTGAGAAGCCACCCATAGCCGCAGATGCTGTAACGACAGATTTTGGTGGGAGGAGGGTCAGGAAACAGAGACAGGTAAATCTTTGAAGCTCCCTGGCCAGTCAGACTAGACAAACAGATGAGCTTCGTGGGTTCAATTCCCAGCATCCACACAGCAGCTCACACCTGTCTGTAACTCCAGATCCAGGGGATCTGACACCCTCACACAGACATGCATGCAGGTGAAACACCACTGCACATAAAATAAAAATACATTTAGCAGGGCCTGGTGAGGCACGCCTTTAATCACAGCACTCAGGGAGACAGAGGCAGGCAGATCTCTGTGAGCTCGCAGTCAGCCTAGTCTACAAAGTGAGTTCCAGGACACAAGGCTACACAGAAAAACACTATCTCTGAGAAAAAAAAAAAAAAAAAAAGTTTAAGGTCAAGGGAGAGGCAAAGTTTGGAGATGGACAAGGCAGGTCCTGGAGGGCCAAGAAGTCCTGTTAGAGAGAGAAGCTTTATCTTGAAGCAAGAGGAAACCTGGTGGGGACAATTATACACCCGCCCCTCGGAATAAGTGCAGAATTGGCTTAAACCTTCCGATACCCAAATCCCTTTGTTTAAACTGATACATTGCTGGCATATAATCTTTTCCCTCCCACTTCATCATCAGGTTACTTGTGATACCTCGCACAATGCCAGTGCTGCGTCAGGTTATCTGTGTAAGATACCTCTGTACCACTGAAGGGACAATGACAAAGAGCTAGTGCATTTCAAACTCACAGGGCCGCAGATGCAGGTCCTGTGGACAAGGAGTCCCCTGTACCAGGGAAGCCTTCTTGCCTGACATTCTTCAGCTGACACAAGCCCTAGGCTAAAAACCTAGACACCTCAAGTCTGGAAGTTCACTGATGACCTGCTCACCACTCTGAGAGTTTAATCCAAATGCACTCACTTTCCCTTGGACAGAAACGAGAAGAAGGCAAGGCCCCTTGGGTCTGCACACTGTCTTATGGGGTATTTATCATGCCCTTTCTCCTGCTTCAGGCTTTTCGTGAACTCTCAACTGCCTAGGAACAAAATCCAAATCCCTCAGGCTGATAGAAAAGACCTAGGATGATCAAGGCTCAGTAACCTTTCCAGCTACCTGCTCCAGTGTCATGAAACAAAAACTCACCCAAGCTTCTCCCAAGCTGCTTCATTCTGAGTATCATCACCTACCCTCACATAAAAAGCCAGATGCAACCATGTACACCTGTAATCCCAGCACCGGGAGACGGTGTTAGGGGGATTACTGTGACTGTGACCAGCCAATCTAGTCAAGTCAGCAAGCCCCTGTCTCAGATAATTAAGCGGAGAGTAACTGAGAAGGACATCCAGTCTGACCTCTGGTCTCTACGTAGGGGAGTATGCACAATTTTTTTTTAATGGTCTCAATAACAGCATTCATATCCTTCAATGGCATGCGTTTTCATATATCACTGTTCTGAGATCTAGCCACGTTGATGTGTACAGATTTCACTCTAAGAACTACAGAGATCTTGTTTGCCTCCAAGAATAAAGTGCAAAGCAACTGAGAAAGACTCCAAATGCCGACTTTGAGCCCCACACAAGGATACACATGTGTTGAGGTCAAAGGGCAAGTGTTGGGAGTTGGTTCTCTCCTTCCACCACCGGGCTCTCAGTATCAGGAGGTCATCAGGCTCGCACAGCAGGTCTTGGTAGTTAATTCGGCTGAGACTCACCTAGCAATCACACCTCTCAGACACTGTGAGGACGTTTCCAGGAAAGAGGAACTGAAGTCAGAGAGCAGGTCCTGGGCAGCCCATGGGGAGTCTGAGCAAAGGGAAGTGCTGCTTTCCTGCCCCCCTCCCCTCAAGAGCTCTGGGCAGGCCTCCGTTTTCCTCAGAAAGAAAGGGAGTCAGGGTCTACAGTGATTCTGCATCCCTGTTTTAGAGTTCCAGGTCAGGTGACTAAATCCTCAGGGAGCCAGTGCCGCGTGCTCGCGTACACACGTCGATAGCGGAGAAGGAACCCGAAGCCCTCTAAAGGGCTGGTAATAGCTACAGTTGCAGGAATGAACGCCACAGCCCCGATGCAACGTGAAGTTGCGTTTCCCTCTAAATTCTCTGCAAAGACTGTTACTAAATAAGAGCACTGTGCGCCCCACTAACAGTGCAGTTCTCTAACGCTCCAGGAAACCCCCACATTTACTGAGCGTGGGGGAGACGCCGAGGGCACGCACCGTAGAGGTCTGGATTGCTGCGGATGTACAGCCTCACGAAGTTCTTTCCAGGGACCGGCAGCAGGGAGCCTTTTATTCTGTCAAAGACCTGCAAGGTAACACAGCAGAAATTCTACTTGTGGTTTAGCTTCCTTAGGATTTAATCTATTCAGCTGCCATAAGTTGCTTTTTTGAGCTTTTATAATTGTTTTCACATGCAGCAAGCCTTCATGCTTTAGGAAGACCATTCCTGCTACTGCGGCTCTAGCGTGACGGCTGCTCCACCCCAGAAGACACGAGCCCCCACTATGGAATGTGAAAGTTGAAGCTGGTTCACAGACCTGGTAAGTGTCCACATCAAAGAATGTCTGATAGTATTCAAACGTCCAGAAGGGAGAGCTTTTCTTCTGACTGGCGAGTAACTGTCAGAGGGAAAATGAACCATCGTCAACTCCAGGCTTCCCAATTTCTTTCAATCATTTATTTGGATATATATATATATATATATATATATATATATATATATATATATATTACTCATATATATATATATGAGTATTTTGTCTGCACACCAGAAGAGGGCTTCAGATACCATGGGACCACGATTATAGATGGTTGTGAGCTGTCACGTTGGTGCTGGAAATTGAACTCAAGATCTCTGGAGGAAAAGCCAGTGCTCTTAACTGCTGAGCCATGCAGAGGAATTTTTATCTAGCAACATGGCTGTTCCGATCACATCCCAAGATCTTCTAGGTCTGTGTGATCTGGCTGGAGTGCAGACACGCCCTTAGTACACACCTTTAATACCAAATAATGACGGAAAAGTTAGTTTGAAAAAGAAGCACTGATGTTTGCCAGCACTGTCTAACTGAGAGGCAGAAAGAGCAGGGAATCAGAGAAAGATTTGACAGAATAATGACACGGAGCCTTTTCGTGCTGTTTAAAGCTTAGGCCTCTTCCTGGGCAGTCTCCAGATACCTTTTAAACTTAACTCAACTACTCCTGGCACTGCATCCCACAAGGAAAACTACCTCTCTATTCTTTCTGCCCCATCCTTTCACCTCCGTGGCCGCTGGCGAAATCATCCGCACGTCCTATTGGCAGTCGGCTCTTTATTACACCCCTGTACCTGTGTGGTATGGCTCATAACCGCCTGTAACTCCAGATCCAGGGAATCCGATACAGTTGTCTAGCCTTGGTGGTTGCATGAGAATGTGCACTGGTACAGACTCATGAACACACACACACACATACACACACACACACACATATACACACACATACACACACACACACACACACTCATAATAAGTATCTACTGTGAAACCCAAGCCTCTGGGACAGTACAGTTCTTTTCAGTTTTTAGTTTATATTCAAGTTGCTCACTGTGGATAACTAAGCTGAAAAGGCCTGAAAAGAAAGCATGAGCCGGGTATCCCAGCACTTGAAGGCAGAGGCAGGTGGATCCCTGAGTTAAGAGGCCAGCCTGGGCTACAGAGTGAGTTCCAGGACAGCCAGGGCTACATAGAGAAACCCTGTTTCAAACACACACACACACACACACACACACACACACACACACACACACACACACACAGGAAGAAAAAAAAAGCCAAAGACAAAGGTTAGAAAAGTTCTACTTAAAAAGAAAGTCTGATTTCCATTTCCTGCTTTAATAAAATAAGTGCCTTGCCTTTAATAAAATAAGTGTCTGTGGTCATTGTTTTTTAATTAATTTATTTATGTATGGGTGCTCTGTCTGCATGTACACCTGCCCTAAGAATCCATGAAGGTGAGTACTACAAGCTGAGGCGAGGGAGCTGTGACCAGTCAGGACCCACGGTAAGGTCCTGAAGGTGGTTGTTTCAGGGCTACTTCTTACTTATTTTTTAAGATTTATTAAATTCTCTTACATATATGAGTGCTCTTTTTTAATTGCACACCAGCAGAGAGAAGCAGATCCCATTACAGATGGTTGTGAGCCACCATGTGGGTGCTGGGAATTAAACTCAGGTCCTCTGAAAGAGCAGCCAGTGCTCTTAACCTCTGAGCCATCTCTCCAGTCCCGGTGGTCACTGTTGATGCTTCCAGAACTTCTCACAGGTCTACAGCTATGCTTTGAATTTTGGGGTGGGTGGGTAACGCAGTTAATATATATGGACCTAACATACCACTGAGACAAAAAGTCTAAATTTCACTTCAAACGTAAAAGTTGATGCCATGTGTTGCAGCTCATGCCTTAATCCCAGCACTCATGAGGCAGAGGAACAAAGATCTCGGTGAGTTCGATGTGGGCCTCAAAAAACAAAACACAAAAGAACAAAAGTAAACCAAAGCCAGGCTTGGTGGCACAAGCCTCTAATCCCAGCACTGAGGAGGTGAATTCCATGGTGCCAGCTAACACTGCCTTCTTTGTATACTTCATGTACTTATGTTCCCCAGCGAACAAAGCTTGTAAAGGGCAGAGCTCAGGGATACATGGTACCAAGCAGGGGTCATCCACGCCAGAACCAGACGTGGCTCAGGCTCACGTCTGCGTGCTCTTCGTTGTATGATAACTATCGTCCTCCACCAAAGGAAATCAGTCCTGCCCAAGCACTTGACACTCCAGGAAGGAAGCAGCATTCTGACAATGGAAACACTTGCACCTAGGAAAGACGCCTGTCAACATGAACAGGACGTAACAGGTGTTCTCTTTGCTTCTGGTTTCCTTTTCTTCTTTTTGTTTTTGTTTGCTTGTTTTGTTTTCTTGAGACATAGTCTTGCTAGGTTGCCCAGGCTGGCCTTGAACTTTAGATTCTTCTGCCTATACCTTCTCAGCGCTGGGTCTGCTGGGGTTACAAGATGGCCCACCATACCCAGCTATGAAATGAGTAATTATGTCTGTCAATTAATATTTCACAATTTGATAAAAGTAATCTCGTAATAAATTATGAGACTAGGCATGGTGGCATGTGCCTGTAATTTCCAAAACATAGGAGGTGTGAGGATTAGAAGTTCAAAGCTGGTACACAGCGAGTTCAAAGCCAGCCTGAGCCCCATGCAACACTGTCTCAAAACAAAAGCTTTTTACGTTTGCTCATTTATTTTGTGCAGAGAGGGTGTGCATGGAGGTCAGAGGACAACTTTTTGGAGTTGTTTCTTTCCTTCCCTTCCAGGTTACTGGGCCTGTGCAGCACGTACCTTACCCACAAAGCCATCCTGGCAGTCCTGGAGTAACAAATGTATTTTAAAAAATAATGAGCCTTAATCCTCAGGAGTCAGAGGCAGGTGGATCTCTGAGTTCGAGGCTGGCCTGGACTACAGAGAGAGTTCCAGGACAGCCAGGGCTACACAGAGAAACCCTACCTCAAAAACAAAGTAATAATAATGATAGCAACAACAACAAAGTCTAATTAAGTACAGGATGACAGTGCGAATGCTCTAAGCTTCCTCTCAGAGACTCATCTTGGCTGGATTAAGGCTCCACCTCTTACCCTGCTCTGTGTTACGATGGCCCCAAAGTGAACGAAATTAAACCCAACTAAAATTCTGTCCAGCTGAGCAGAGAGATGTAGGCATCGCCAATACTCAGGAGGATTGAGGCGAGGTTACAGCCAACCTGGTCTGCACAGAGCTCCAGACTAATCAGGGCCACACAACAAGGTCATCTCAAAACCAAACCAAACCAAACCAAACCAAACCAAACCAAACCAAACCAATTCTGTCCAAAAGGATCGATCTCTGGGCCAAATATTTTTCCAGTCTTAAACAGAGCAGCTATCAGGCTCCTCTCTGTATCTCAAAGTATCCCCCACGTCCACAGAAATTAGAAAAATGAAAATGAAGACCCACTACTCCTCTTCATGACTGGAAGAATGGCTTAAGTGCTCAACAACAAAGCTTCAACAAGCCTGGAAGCACTGCCAGGAAAGACAGAAGGATTTCTCCTGAGAGCCAAGATCCAGAGCCTTCACAGACAACACCCAGAGGATGAGGGGTTCCCTCTACAAGGGCTCTGCAACCCCAGCACGTCACCAGTCCTCTAGGTCACAAAGGTTGCAGCTATCCAAGGTCTCGAAGCAGGACATCCCCCACACTTCTGAGGAAAACCATGAGGCCGGCCATGAGACTCTGAATATGTCCCAGCAGAACAGCAACAGGCAAAGAGTAAAGGAGCCAAGGGGCTTTTCACAAGGCCCCAACACAACCCGAGGAGCCGCAACTAACCTTAATGTTAGAGAGAAAAAAAACGGGTGTTTGGGGCCACCTCAGCTGAAACACAGGAAAGAAAGCACAGTCAAAGAATGGAAAACTTATCAAGAGTTTTAAATCAGTGAGAACAAAAGCAAATCTAAAAGGGACTGATTGCTGGCCATGTGTTAAACCTGAGAATTGAGAGGAGAAAAGACCAAATCCATAGCTGTCTAATTAAAGCAAGCTATATTTTGGGGGTACACCCAAGATCGAGAGAGCAGCTCCTGCTGGCCTCTTAAGGTCCCCTTCATAGGAGAGATAAGGTGTTGACAGGGGCTAGGCGAGTTGGCTGTTGAAAGATACAATGAAAGGAAAGGAACAGGAGTAAGGAAATTTATCATGGTCACAAGCAGTTTACATCAGAGCTAAGAAACAAGAACTTATTCTTAATTGCAAATAGAAACATTACCTTGCAATGATTTAAAACAGCAAACAAGGAGGGACTTATTCTTAACTGTCTCAACTGCAAACAGAACCCTTAACCTTCCAGGTATACTTTCTTCTGTTTTGGTCTCACACATGGTGGCTCATGCCTTTAATCCCAGGACTCAGGAGCAGAGACAGGCAGATCTCCAAGTTCCAGACCAGCCTGGCCTACAGAGCGAGTTCCAAACCAACCAGGGCTACACACAGAGCCTATCTCAGAAAAAGTAAAATTGAATGAAATAAAACAAGATGGACTCTGAATTATGTGAGCTGTTTATTATAAGATCTGCTCAAAAAGGACGTCAGTGGTCAGGGAGAAAAGCTGACTAGTTCTCACAGGCTCTGGTCACTCCTTTGTGACTTCAACTTTCAGCCACAAAAAGCTCAGAAGCCGGGTTCTATCAGCTCTTCTTAGCCAATCACCATTATGTTATATTGATATGTATATTTTCAATTATATAACTTTCTGCGTCTCCTTACGTTATTTTGACACGTATATTTTCAGTTGTATAAGCTAACTCTCCGTGTCTCCTTCAGGCCTACACTGGAGTTATTTGGAGGCAGCAACTACAAAGATCTTTAAGTCTACAGAGTCCACATCTTGGGGTCCGGGCCCCTAATAGAAACTACGAAGATCTTTAAGTCTATAAATGTCTTCATTTGGCCCACTGTCCTGCTAATTTCTAGGACTGAACTATTTGGCTCCTTTTTTATTTCTTTTAGATTTTTAAACTTTCACTTTATTTATGTGTATGTATGCGTGCACACATGCATAGGTGCCTGCAGACACCAGAAGAAGGTGCTGGTCCCGCTGGGGTGGCATATACAGGCAGTTGTGGGTCCTGACATGGGTCCAGAAGACAAACTCTCGACCTCTCGCAGAGCAGTAAGCGATCCTAACCACAAACCAACTCTCTCCAACCCCCTGGATTCTTTTGTTTTTCGAGACAACTTTCTCTGTGGAGCCCTGGCTGTCCTGGACTTGCTTTGTAGACCAAGCTGGCCTCAGACTCAGAGATCCGCCTGCCTCTGCCTCCCGAGGGCTGGGATTACAGCCTCGAGCCACCTTGCCAGGCCCCATTTGATTCTTTTCAGGTACCGCTTCACACACCCAAAGGCCACTTGGTCAGCAGTGGAAACTGCCCTGATCCTCTCATTTGGTTCCTACCCCTTAGGCTGCCCCTCTAATGGCTGTAATTTTGTTAGTAGCCCATCTTCACTCCTTCCCACTGTAAACATTTTGGCCAAGTTTGTGTTACCTAGGTTACAAGGATCCCACCTAAAGTTAACATTCAAGGGCTGAGGCCAGGCCATTCCAACAAGAGAGACAAAAGGACAAAGGCCTGTCACTGGGCCCTTATCAGGAGATGGAAACCTTTAAGAGAAGTGAGGCAAGGAACTGCAAGTGGCAAAGAAAAATATGAGCAGGAAGCTATGGGCACGTGAGCGCTCATTCTGACCAAGGACAGTACTGTCCTTACACCCTTCAAGTTTTGTTTCGGTTTATTTGAGGTAGAGTCTCTCTATGCAGTCCAAGCTGGCCTTGAACGCTCAATCACCCGCCTTAGCCTCTGGAATGCACCTTGATTTCAGGTGTGTGAGACCACGCAGGCTCCCAGGAGCTTCCTTACGTGGCTGTGGCTGCCGGAAAGCGCTAGCACTTTCCGAGCCTTGTCAGTGGGGGCTGTACAGCACAGACGAGCAAGCGCTGCGCCAGGAGCAGAGCTGCCTATCAGCACCGAGTTTCTGCTCATTCCAAACCTGTCTCTGCAGGCAGCCCGCTGCTCACTTCCCCAATCCCAGTGCTCCGCAGTCTTCTGGGTGTCTTTTCTGTAAGAGACGCACTTTCCCTTCCCTGCGGGGCGGGTCAGCGTCTGACTGCTAGCCTGCTTGTGACAAAGGACCCACGCAGTGGTGGTGGTGTCCAAGGGCTGCATGGTAATGCCTCTACTACACACTGAGCCGATGCTCCTCGCAAGGGTTCTGGACTCAATGTGAAGAATACTGAAGGAACACTATTCCTCTCACACCGCCCCAAATGTGTGCCGGGGTCACAAACACTCACCCGATTTACACACCACCCAGCCAGATGGCGGCCTCCATGTCTCCCTGCAGCCCTCCTGCTCTCTCCTTCACCTACACCCTTCCACAAGACCTACTGAGTCCGCTCCCATTGCTTCCGGTCAAGACCATCTGCTTGACTCTGTCTAGTTTTCCGGCCTCCAGTCCATCTCCCTCCGACTCACATTTAAGGACACCAACCATCTAACTCATCTTTAAATGAATCTAGATGCACGGTTTAAAACCCCCACTGGCTCCTGATGGTTTTCAGAATGCGTGAGGACCAAGTGAACTCATTAGGTCTGGGCCTATGTGTAGCCTTCCCTCCCACCTTCACCTACCCTTTGATCCAAAGCAGAAGACAGAAGGTGTTCCTGTCTGCACCGTGCTCTTTCATACCTCTGTGGCTTTCCAAAGATTTGCCCAGCTTCTTCCCCTGTCCACCTCCCGTCTTGCAGCAAACTTAGCCAGGTGTCACTCAGCCGAGGAAGCCTTCCCTAACGTCCCCTCTGTCTCCCTGACACCCACACCCACAAGCATTTCTCATGGGTGATGGTCTGTTTACCTGTTTGCCTCCCTCCCCCGCACCCCCGATAGTGATGTCCTGGGTCACGCACCTTTGTCTCACCACTGCCTGGCACCGTACCGGGCATGTAAGAAATAACGAGGAAAGGCACGAACTCTAAGCTCTGAGAAAGGTAAAGGAGAAAACCCTGAGAGGTGAGTTCAAACCTGAGTCTCGTCAGAGTCATTGTTTCCCAGAAGCTCATCATCCTCCTCTCTCCCCGAGCTTCCTGGGGCTCTGGGCTGGTGTTTGGAAGTTTCACCGGGGTCCTCAATGCTTATCGTGGTGGCATCTGGATCTGCTGCTAGCAATGCGGCTCCATCGCCAAATTCTGAAATGAAGCAGAGCACAGAGGCCTGGAGACCTCCCCACACCAGATGCTTTCACCGGAAGCTCTGGAGCTGCAGATGCGGCTCAGTGGCGGGGAGCGCATGCCCAGCATGCAAAAGGACCTGGCTTCCAAACCTCAAGCTGCTCATTACCTCAGCCCTGCTATGAGCCTTACCTATGACAAGCCGCAAGAGGCTTCAAAAACCATCTTGGCTAGGGAGGCTGAAGCTGGAGGGTTTGGTTCAAGTTCCACCCAAGCACAGGAGGTGAGGAAGGGGATTGGCAGTATTATCTAAATAGTCTTCAGCAAGGTACCTGATCCATCTGAACACCTCTGATTCAAGTAAGTCCTTAGGAGGACCATGAGGACCGAAAGGCGAAGTGGAAATAATAGAATAAAAATCATGCAGCTCCATCACTCAAAGACAGGCCCTCGGAGCGTCCTGGTGTGTTTCCTTTCTTTGCATAAAGAGATTCAAGGCAATGATGAGCCCCCTCTCATACAACAGATGCTTCCCTCAGCCAACTGGAGAGCAGGTCCAGCTCTCGGGTGTGCCAGCATCTAACAAACAATCCAGTAGCCTGCTCTGTCTACTGGCGACTGCACACAAAGAATGACTTTTTGTATTATGATAGTTTTTGAAGTATACAAGAAATGACAGTGTAGGCAGAGCTTTTTTTTTGGGGGGGGAGTATAGAGAAGAACATGCTATGACATAGACATGTGAAGATGTCATGGTGAAAGATGCCATTACTTCCCATTACTTAGCCTGAAAAATAAGTAAACAAACAGCAGAGAGAGAGAGAGAGAGAGAGAGAGAGAGAGAGAGAGTGTCAAATGAAGCTGTGGGAGCGCCAGTCTTAGGAGGACCACTAATCACTGCAACCACTAAGCCATGGCTGTGTTTGTGTGTCTGTCCTTGTGTGTGTGTGGTTGTGGCTCTGCACATACACTGTGTGGTGTGTGGTCATCTGTGCACGTTCGTTTGCCTAAGTATGGGGGGCCTGGCTACGGCTGTCATTAGACATCTTCCACCACGACTCTCCACTTTATTTATTGAGGCAGGCACCTTGACTAAACCCAGTTTGTCAGTTGGGGCTGGTCCGGCTTGCTGGTTTGCCTGAGGGATTCTGTCTCTGCCTCCCTCCTGCTGGGATGGCAGGCAGCCACCACGCCTGCTTACAGCCTTCACACAATTCTCTCCTTTGCACAGCAAGTGCTTTATCCCCCGGGCCACCTCCCCAGCACTCGGCAGCATCCCACGGCTCTGCTAAGCGGTGTGCAAGGACCTTCCTCAATAACTTCCACCAGCAGTGATGGAGACCTCTGAGCATCCCAACACTTGATATACACACGTGAGCCTGTCATGGTGAAATCCATCGATTAGCTGTGCCGAATGAAATTTAGGACAGCACTGAAATTTCTTCTTCCTTTTCCTCTGAAGCAGGCTCTCAGGCTGGTCTCAGACAGCCCAGGCTGGTCTCAAACCTGAGATCCGCATGCCTCTGCCTCCTGAATGCTACTGAGATTACAGGCAGGCACTATCATACCTGGCTTATGTCTGAACTCTTGAAGGCCCAAGAAAGCACCAGTGGCCACCACTGCTATCACAGGTTCCAGCAGTGGGGTGGAGGCCCTTAGTTCAGCTCTCTTAGTGCCCCACAAATACATGAATACAGTATACAGAAAATCAAAGCAACATGGTTTAAGAGGCAGGCTACTAGGCAGCAACTCATGGGCAACCACTGGGGTTTGGCATGAGATGACCTGTTTCAGTTAAGACTCCGATCACATGCCAGGCATGGTGGTGCACACCAGCACTCAGGAGGCAGAGGCAGGTGGGTCTCTGCGTTTGAGACTCTAATCACAAATGACCCGGTCCTTGGGGAAATGATTCTACATCTTCTGAGTTTGACTCCTTAGCTAAACACTGCAGACAATACTCTCCCAACAGGGACCCGGTAAGATGATACAGATCCTAATTGCTGTTTAAGGGTGCTGACCTCTACAAAGATGGCCACAGTGCTGTCAAAGGGGGCCACGTGAAGGAAGATAGATTTAAGTCATACATATTTCATAAGTAGCAGTTTGCTGGCAGAGAGGCACATGAGATGGGGTCGGGGGAGGAACCGCCGTGGAAGCAGGAAGGCCATGCAGGCCCAAAGGGAAACAGAGTTCACTGAGTTAGTGAGGTCAGGATCTGCTTCTGAGAAAATGCCCAATGAAGAGAATGGCCAGAGGTGCTATGGAAAGGGTTGAGTAGGACCCAGGGCATGCTGAGAAGACAGCGGGTGACAACATCTGGGGTGTACTCTGCCATGAGGACCCCACATACTCTCCTCTGTACAAGATGCTCACATTGGCCTCCAGCCCTTGAGCAAGGCTGTGTGGTGCGACTTCCAACATCAATGCCGTCTGCCTCTACATCCTGGCCTTTACCAAGCCATCTTTTGCTTCCTTCTTTTCTTAGCATCTGACTTTTGCCAGAAGGCACCTGAACTCCACCTTGTCATGTACCATTCTTCCTCAGGACAGCTTTCTGTGCCACCATCAAGACCACATGCTCTTTCCGGAAGCCAAGCTCCTTATATCATTTTTATAGCTCCACCTTTATCACTGTCACCTCCTTTCTAGTTGCCTTGAGCCAACAACCTCCGCTGCCCAGTCTACGATCTGCAACATGGGCCAACTTTTAGCCCTTTGTAGACAGAAAAAAATAAATTAAGAAGTCTTCCTCCCACCCCAGGGGCTTTGAAAATGCTGTTCATAATCTTGTACTTCCTTGCACTTTTATTTAGCAAGGTTGAAGAAGGGCTCTTCAGTGAAGCAAAATCTGAAGAAGGCCAAGAAGGGAGCAGTGGGAACTGTCGAGAAGACAACTATGAATGGAAAACAGCACAAAAGCAGGGACTGTGTTAGGTCACATGCCCAGTGTGTCAGGGAAGAGTGGTAAGGATACGAGGTAAGAAGGACAGGAGATAAGGTCAGAGGCAATGGACCCTCAGTTTCCAAGCTTTCATTCCCAGTGAGATGGGAGGGACAGAGCCAGAGGAAGGCAGGATTATTATTTAGATGAATGAAGTTGAAGGTGACCTTGTACCTTGAACCTGATGGGGGACACTGAGAGGGGATGAAGGATAGTCAGATGCCTGATTGATTTTTATTTATGTATATGCATGTATTCTGGGTGAGTGTGTGTGCCACCTGTGTGCAGGTGCCTGTGGAGGCCAGAAGGGGGCGTTAGATCCCCTGGAACTGGATTTACAGGCAGTCAGGAGCCAACTGATATGGATGAGTCCTGGGAATTCACCTCAGCACCTCTTAAGTGCTTTTACAGGTGGTTGATATGAGATGGAGAATCACAGCTGTGACAGTGTTTGCCCAGGAAGTTATTTCTATTTAAACATCAAATCTTCCTCACACAGTGGAGAGTCCTGCCACATCACCAGGATTCCAGCCCTGGCTGTCTGATTTATTAACTGCATGACTCCATCTGCGTCTCAGTGTCAGAAGAACTTTGTGAGACAAATAAGCAGCTGATGTGACCAAACTAGAAAAACCTGGGCGTGGCCAACAGCCTCTTACCAACATGTCTGAAATAAAATCCTTTAAACTATGTGTCAGTGGTAAAAACCACTGCTGTGACAGTGGAAGCTACAATCAGGAGATGGAGGTGGGCACTCAGCTGCCATACCTTCAAACTGCAAGTCATCTACAGCTGCCATTCAGCCGGAGGTTCTGCTCCCAAGGCTGAGGAAGAAAATTCTCGGGGTCTGAAAGGAAGAAATAAATAAGCTTAGGAAAATGGAGCAATCTGAAAAAAAAAACAAAAAAACATAATAAAATAATTTTTAGGGGCTGGAGAGATGGCTCAGAGGTTAAGAGCACTCACTAGCTGCTCTTCAGAGGTCCCAAGTTCAATTCCCAGCAACCTCACGATGGCTCACAACCATCTATAATGAGATCTGGTGCCCTCTTCTGGCGTGCAGGTGTACATGTAGACAGAACATTGTATACATAATAAATAAATAAATTTTTAAAAGAATTTTTATAGCCAGCTGTGATGGCTGGTGCACATCTTTAACCCCAGCACTTGGGAGGCAGAGGCAGGCAGATAGATCTCTACGATTTTAAGGCCAGTCTGCTCTACAGAGTGAGAAGCTGTCTCAAAAATTAAGAAAAACGATTATTACATTTCTTTATCTTGTGTGGCTATGGGAGTAAGCTCTTTCCTTCCACCATTGGGGACCCAGAATGGGACTCTGGCCATGCTTGGGGACAGCCGCCTTTACCTGCTGAGCAATCTCCCCTGCCATCAGAAATTATTAAAGCTGTTACAAGGAAACTGAAGGCTGGGGTTGTAGCTCATTTGGTAGAGTGTTTTGCTCTCTTGGAGCACGCACGAAGTCCTGGGCTCAATGACCAGGACCTGCAAAATCTGCTGCATGCCTGTAGTCCCAGCACCTAGGAGGCGGAGGCGGGACGATCAGGAAGCTTAATGTTATACTAGGCTGGGTTAGAAGAGTCTATTCCTCCCTGCACCCCTCCACCCCCGCTCCCCGCGCACCGCCATCAACAAAAAGGAGCCTGGCTGCAGGGGCCATTCACTGTGTGAATGTTTACGGACCAGTTGAAGCCTGGAGATGGAAGAAAGTGGAAGGGGAGCCTCGGACTTGGGAGAGGTGATGGGGAAAGCACTCCACTGCAGCCGGTTTTAGGTCCCAGACCCTTCGGTCAGACAGACCTGGGTTTGAGTCCCGATTCTGCTGCTTCTTCTGCTGTGTGCGCGCGCGCTCCTCGAGGCCTCCGTTTCCTCATCTGCAAAACGGGCTCATGGTGAAGGGACCATTCTATAAGACAGTGCCTGTGAGGCGCCTAGCGCAGAGGAGCCAGGCAAGGAGTAGCGCCGGGGCGTCGGCGACCCTGCAGTCGAGGTCCTGAGGGAGCACAGGAGGGCTTCGGCGGGGTATGCTGAGCAACCGCGGCCCGGGCTGGAAGGAGATTCCCCAACTGGCCCAGAAGCCCAGAGACCGGGGAGAGCGGGTCCAGCTGCCCAGGGGCCGGGGATGCTCGGCACCCGCAGCGTCCAGCCGGGGTTCCGGAAGCGGACATCCGGGGTGGGTGGTTCTCTCCGCCTCCTCCGGGCAGAGCACCGCCCCTTTCTTAAAGCGAGCGTAGCACCCGAGCACTCCGGGGGCGGCGCGTCCCTCTCCTAGGTCTTAAAGAGACAGGCGCCAAGTAGGGAGAATTCTCAGGAGTTTTGGGGAAAAGGTCACCAAAAATTTAACCAGCGAGGAAGACTCCACAGCAGCCGACTTGTGAAGGAAAGGAGGCCTCCGGACCACTGTTCACCACTGTTCGCTGGCCGGTGGCTAGGGATGGCCTCCCTCAGCTGTACCACCCCAGGCTCATGACAGTCACCTGGAAAGCAGCAGTGGAGTGGTCTGGCGGGCAACCTGGTGGCCTGCCTCCTGCCTGGGCCTCCAGGTTTTGGGGGGACCTCTGCCTCCTCCTCTGGGACTCGCCTGTTAATTCCCTGGGCCTCCCTCTGCTTTGGCAATGCTCGCCTGAACTGCTACCGTTCGCTCATCCTTGCCAGCCTGTGAACACTCGGAGAACAGAGGGAATGGAATGAGTCTAGTGTCTGGGTGGCCAGTATCAGCCAAGGACAGTAGCACACAATTAACTGTTCACAGTTACTGCCACAGACTGAAAGGGTCTATAGACAGTTCTTGCTGTCTGGAGCTGCAGTGCAAGCAGCAGACACTCGATTCACGGCTCACACAAGGAGACCAGTGTCCTTAGCCTCACCACACAGGGTCCTTTTGACTTCTGACACACTCTGCATATTGACTATTCCTGATTCTGCTTTTCTAACTGTTGAGCAGTCAGATGTAATAACACGTTAGCCATTCCAACTCATATGCAGGGGCTCTGACCTGGCATTGTCATCAGGCTTTGTTCAGGCAGGACCTCCGATTCTCAGAACAATGCTGCTAACCCGAAGTGGACCCCAGCCCTTGCCATGTAAAGAAAGGTAAAGAAAGAGCGGGGCTTAGAGCATGTGCCGGGCACTTTTGGTGAGTGTCAGGATTAACATGGGTCATGCAAGTGTGCCCAGCATCTTTTCTGTCTCACACTCACCTGCTGCTAATCAACAGCTAACCTTATTCAAGCTACAGCGGGCAGACCCTGAGCAAAGGTCACCCTAGCCCCGTGCTATGGGCCCCTCATCCTCCGCACCAAGCCGTATTTCTTCATTCCCGGGTCATGGAGCTCTGCTAAGAACACCTAGGACGAAGGCAGGCACAATCCCCGAAGTGCTCCCATATACCCACATCCAAATTTCCACCTCTCCTGTCCATGCTGGGACTCTGTTGGAGGTGAGTAAGAGATAGTGCGTTCAGTACCCTTTGACACTGGGCCCTACCTGATTTTCAGGTAGTTTTTTTTTTTTTTAAAAAAAAAAAAAAAAGCAGAACAAGTCTCCTTCCAAGCTTCCACAGAGACTCCACAGTGCCAACAACGCGCCTTAAGATGGCTGGCTGCTCTGACCCTTTTTTCTCAAGGCTTCCAGTGAAATTAAGCAAAGCTAGTCTCCCAGTGCTCGAGAGGCAGATTTGGGGAGTGCTCTATGAATTCAAGGCCAGCCTGGTCTACTCTCTCCGTGACCAGTTCCATCATATTGGAGGCTGGAAACTATCTCTTGACATTTTCCATTCCTCCCTCCAGGGCACTAAAGGAAGTCTGTGTGGTACAGATAATCAACTATGAAAGCTTTACAAAGTTGGGAGAAGGTGTGGTGGCCTGTACCTGTAATCCCAACATTTCGGAAGCTGAGGCAGGAGAATTGCTGTGAGTTCAAGGGCAGCCGGGGGTACATAGCAAGAACAGAGACAAAAGGGAGTTTCCTGGATATTTCCTGAAACTTCCACACCTAGCAATAAAGACAAATAGGCAACGTAAGCCACTGTATCCTGGCAAGGGCATCTAAGGGCTGAGTCACTCAGGAACGACATTCCAAGTCATTCCAAAAAGCTGGCTGAGGGTGAGAGGAACCGGAGGGAGGAAATGATCATCGATTTTTCATTTAGTCTGCAGCATCAGAGAACATAGGGTGTTTTAATGGTCCTGTTACATCGTTTCATTGCAGACTGAGCTGTTCTCTTCAGTGAAAGGACCTCTGAGAGAGTTGGCTTGTTCCTCGTCCCTCTCAGGAGGCAAGAGACCAGGCCCTGGTGTAACTAAACTCAGAGTGACAGAGCAGGGGTTGCGTAAGAGCACAGCCTTTCTGCAGATGCCATCGAATGCCTCTCAAGGACCACTTCCTGTCTTCCTGGCTCCAACTTTTGCCTTCCAGACACTTCTGTTATGACTGGTATAGGCTGTGACAGGCTCCTCAGATGCCTCCTGAGAGGCAGCTGCCTCAGGGCTCTTCCACAGGGACCCTTCATTGCCTTACATACATCCAAAATGTGGTGGGGTTAACATCACAGAGACAAACACGATCTCACTGTGTAGCCCAGGCTAGCCTCAAAGTAATCCTCCAGGTTGAGCTGCCAAAGCTTTGAGATTGCAGGATCATGTGACATCATGTCCTGCTCTGGGAGACTCTACTGAAGGCGATGAGCTCCTGTGCATAAATGGCTCTCACTTTCTCTCAGATAGAGACCTTTTGTCCTATAAAAATGTCAGCAGCTGTGGCATTTTATCCTGATTCTGGGCCTTTGATTTAGCTTTCCCTGTCTTTTCTAGCCCTTATTATGCTAATTTCACAGAAAATCCCAAGCAGAGGCTGGGGCAGAGCTCACTTGGTGGAGTGCTTGCCCAGTCTGCAAAACTGTGGCTTCGTTTCCAGCCTTGGGTATAGCAAAGCTTGGCATCCCAGCTGGTGAGATGAGGCAGGACCACAGAACACCAAAGGAATATGTGAGACCTTATTGTAAAAGGAACATTTTTTAATTGATGTTGCTACTTTATTTTTTATTAATTAATTATTCACTTTGTATCCCAGCTGCAGCCCCCTCCCTCACCCTCTCCCAATTCCACCCTCCCTCCCTCATCTCCTCCCATGCCCCTCCCCAAGTCCATTGCTAGAGGAGGTCCTCCTTCCCGTCCTTCTGACCCTAGCCTATCAGGTCTCATCAGGACTGGCTGCATTGTCCTCCTCTGTGGCCTGGTAAGACTGCTCCCTGCTCAGGGGGAGGTGATCAAAGAGCCAGCCACTGTGTTCATATCAGAGACATCTGGGCCCAGGGGTCTTTTCTGAGACTGATATTCCAACCAAGGACCATGCATGGAGATAACCTGGAACCCCTGCACAGATGTAGCCCATGGCAGCTTAGTGTCCAAGTGGCTTTCCAGATTTTTTGGATCTGTTGCTCTCCTTGTGGAGCTCCTGTTCCCTCCAGGTCTTCCTATCTCCCCCTTCTTTCATAAGATTCCCTGCACTCTGCCCAAAGTTTGGCTATGAGTCTCAGCATCTGCTTTGATACAGTGGTGGGTAGAGTCTTTCAGAGGCCCTCTGTGGTGGCTCCTGTCCTGTTCCCCAGGCAGCATTCTTGAGAGGTCTTCATGCATCTGCCTTGAGCCAAGGTTTCTCACTGGACCAGAGCTCACCAACAGCTCACCAACGTGTCCACACGCCTCTGCCTTCAAGTGCTGGAATCCGAAGTGTCCTCTACCATGTGGTATCTTTATGTGGGTCCTGGGGTCAAACTCTGGCGCTTTTATCTACAAGGTAGGAACTCCTCTGACTGGCCCACCTCTTCGGCTGCTATGTAGACTTTTATTGAATTTATTGACTTAAAAAGTGGCCAAGGCTAACTTCTGAATCATGGTTACTAATGATTTTGAGATTAGTTTTCTAGGCAATGAAGCTTTATCTTGCTTTTATAGATTTCTTTTTCCCCCTTTTCCTTTCTTTCTTTTTCTTTTTCTTTTTTTCTTTTTTTTTTTTTTGACAAAGGTCACTAAGATTACAACTGGTCCAAGCTGGCCTTAGACTCAAAAGTATTGAGATTAGAGGTACGTGCTCCTGCCCAACTTAAGATTTTCATTTTACAATAGAATTTTAAAAGTGAATCTTAGAGATTTTTTTTCTAGGCTGAATGAAGAACCATACTACCTTCCTGATATTAAAATGGTATATAGCCGGTGTTAATCTCAGCACTTGGAAAGCAGAGGCAGAGGCTTTCTGAGTTCAAGTCCAGCCTGAGCTACAAAGTGAGTTCCAGGACAGCCAAGGCTACACAGAGAAACGCTGTCTTGAAAAAAAAAAAAAAGTGCGTAATGAAATATAAATTCAGGCTGAAGATGGCTCAGTGGTTAAGAGCACTGAATGCTCCTCCAGAGGACCAGGGTTCAATTCCCAGCACCCACATAACAGCTCACAACTGTCTATAACTCCTGTTCCAGAATATCTGACACCCTCACACAGACATACATGTAGTCAAAACACCAATGTACGTAAAATAAAATAAATATAAATTATTTTGCTGGGCATGGTAGTGCACACCTTTAATCCTAGCACTTGGGAGGCAGAGGCAGGGGGATCTCTGTGAGTTTGAGGCCAACCTGGAATACAGAGCAAATCCAGGACAACCAGGGCTATTACACAGAGAAACCCTCTCTTGAAAAACCAAATAAATAAATAAATAAATACTTTTTTTTTTTTTTAAGTTAAACTTAGTGTTAAACTGAGATGGCTCAGTGCTTGCCGCCAAGCCTGGCTACCTGAGAACCCACATGATAGAAGAAGGGAACTGATTCCTGCATTATGGGATGTGACCCCCTGCCCCCACCCATGCACCCATAAACACACACACTTCCCGACAATACCATCGCCACCATTACCACCTGCCAAGCATATTCTAGACAAAATTCAAGGTAAAAATATTTGAAGACACAAGAAAAATAGTTTACATACAGCAGTGAAATACATCTTAGAAAAAAAAAACAAAAACAAAAACAGCATATTTGAAAAAAAAATTATCCCTCAGAGGAGAAATAAATAATTTCTCAGGCAAACAAATATTGGGAGAATTTATTGCCAGTGATTTATCTTGAATGGAATCCAAAGAAATTGTTAATAGAAAAGGAGAATGATATCAGTAAGAAAAAGTT